TAGGTAGAAAAAAATCACTACTACGTCAATGAAAAAAACAGTGAGTGCGCAGGCGAGCTGGTGGATGTTGATCATGATGTAGAATACCCGAGACCGTGGTAAAAGCTGGGAAACTTTTTCGAAAAAAGAAGTCAGGAGAAAATAACATCCCAAACTCTGCTGCTGCGTTTATTTCCTCAAAGCCTTATATATCCACAATCTAATCACCGACCACCGACATCACAAAGACAACATTTGTTATACAATCCTGCCCACACTGACCTTTACTTGACCCGTAAACAGTGACCTCAATCCCATACTAAATAAAACCTTAAAGGCCCGTTCACACTCTTGCGACTGTTTGCAACCTCTTAAACCTGGGTTCCTTAAAACTTCTTAAACCAGAGAACACACTGGCGCCATCTATTGGGAAGCAGTGTAAACTCGGCGGTCCGGCATATTTTTTTTTTATTTCCCGCGCGATATCCTTTCTTTTTTGGCTCGAAAAACTTTTGTCAATGTTATGAACGAGCCTTTCTATGGGTATTACGCACATTTGACCTCGGAAATCCCGCAAAACCTTCGCTTTTGTGAAATGCAGTTCTAGGGTCACCGCATAGATGGCGCCACAATGTCAGTGTGTTCCCTCATTCTAGAAACATTTAAGAAGTTGTAAGAGATCTCGTCTCTCTCAGTCGTACTCGGTCGCAAGAGTGTGAACGGGCCTTAAGACCTTAAACAAAACAATCCCACCGACCCACTTACTTTCCAGCCGGAGTGTGAAAGGGCTGTGCTTTATCTAAACGAGGAATGATATGTCTTCCAACTGAACCCTTTTCTGAAACAATGACTCATTGCACGTTTACCTACAACTGTCAACAAAAAATTACCTTCTAAGAATCTTTTTGGAACAACTTCCGAGTTGCATCGAAGCATAGGTGATACAGTTACCGATGGATTTCATACGAATTCTCTCTCTTATGAGCCTCTTAGAGTTGTTACACTCTCTGTGCACGATGTCAGTTTGCGGCCAAAGTGCCGTACATTTGTTGCACTCACTAATGTGTTTAGTGAGTGCAATCTCACTACCAATCTATCATTTCCACACCTTGCCGTTTGACCCACACACCTGAAACAACAGTGATATTTCATGGACCACCCCTTCCTTGCAAACAACCGACTTACCACGGTGCGCTTTTCGACAGACTTTCTCACTCCTCTGAAACGGTGTCAGACGGTTTCAGTTTAAAGTCAGACCTGAACGCTACATCTATCCCACATTTCTCTGCGCATGCTTTAAGGCTCTGTGAAATTGTGTGAAAATACGGAATAACCGCTCAATGCTTTCTGGCTTCAGTTTCTGGTCGTTGTTTAGCCCTTTGCTGCAATTCCAATTGTTCTTTTATGAACACACTGTCATAGACTGCATCTTCTAACCTTGACCACTGCCTCTTAACCGCACAACCCATAAAAGGTGTTGTGTGGTGTATCTACCAATGACTCCAGCTACAAAGCAAACTAATGGACAAAATGTAGACTGAGGCACAGTACATAAAGAAAAAGCAAATTGTTGTGTGTATGTTTATACAGCCGGAAGTTAGAAAGTTAGTCCGCCTCAATGGGCTTCTGGTGTCTCAGCTGTAATGAGCAATTTAGCCAGTGCGGCACAAGCCTGGGGTCTTTAACGTGCACCACGCAGTAGTGATACACGACCGCACGTCAGTACGATGCTCATGCGAATCGAAACGGGCAGGGGTGGGAATTGAATCCAGGGTCTCTGGGTTCCGCAGCGCAAGCTTTCGCTCCACGTGCTCCGAGCTGGTGTGCGCTAGCCCACACGGGCGGGTTTACTACGGTTGATCGAATGCCATTTCATCGAAGCACGTTTTAGAGAATGGGCACGTTTCATCGAAGCACAGTTCAGAGCCTCAGTGTAGAGAACCGCCGTTTATCGAAAAAAGGACGCTTTTTTGAAAAAAAAGGCTTTCCTACTTCTCACGCTCCCGCCGCTTTGCCGGCGGCAGTCTGCGGCGGCTCATTACAAAAATGTTAACTCACCTGATTCACCCGAACACGCCGCTTCGCGGTGGCCGAATTCGCTAAAAGAAGGCTCATCGCCATTTTCTATAAACTGGGTTCTCTATAAAGGCATTCGATAAACCGGGGTCGGTAAAACGTCGTTCGCTAAAACGAGCTTCTCTAAACCGCATGCCTCCGCACTGGGCCATCGAACCCCCTACATAAAGAATAGATTATTTGCATTCTTAGTTTATAATTTTGCGACCTAAACTTAATTTATTTTCTTTCAAAATTGCTGCAAGATATATTCAGACACAGATCAAGCGACCTGTTCCTATTGGCGAGGAGATTACAATTTTAAGGGGTCAGTGTTTTCGCCACAGGTCGGCGTTTATCAAGCACCGTTGCGTTCGGAAGGTGACGATCTCATGCGCGCACCAAAAGTCGGGGCTGTGGCTCGTTGCTAGCGTGGCCCCGACGAAACAGGCCTGGAGTGGGGCTACTGAAGTAGCAATTTTATGTACAGTGAATATACAAGTAGCATGGTCGACTGGCTAGTCGGCAATCGGCGACTTCGGCTGGCTGGCTAATACGTTTATTGGATATCTGGGGCTTCCCGAGCCTATGTTATATAGCCCTCCGAGGGCGAGAAGGCCCTCTAAGACAGGGGAGCCTTCCCCGGTGTTCGGGTGTTCACGAGGTGTCCGAAGTGCGGGGGCGGCTGATGCAATTTCCGGGTGTTCTTTCAGCGAGGGGCAGATGATACGATCCCTCGACATTCTTGCCGCGCTCGCTCCGGTGGCTGATGTAAGGAGTCGACGTTCTTTCTCAAACCCAACATCGACAGACCCACACACACACAAACAGGCCTTGCGAGGGCCAATGATCTCAGATGGTCTCGTGGCTTCCGGAAGACCTTCTTTTTTGTGTTTGGAGCCCTTCTCGAAGGCCACCACCGGCCCAATGACTCAAGGGCCGATCTCGGGAATCTGAACGTGACTGTCTAGTGCCGTTGGTGAAAGGTGAAGGCGAACTCCAGGACGGAGTTAAGGAAGCCAGTCGTAACAGCACAAGGCCCGTCTTAAATATTGGCGTTATCGATACCTCGATCGGCCGCGGGGCACACGGAGTGGACAGAAAAGTTGCGTCAGCGTTTAGTTACGTCAGACGACCGCTGCGTCACAAAAGATCGAGTAATTTACATTTCTTCTCCCCGTAGCTAATGTGAACCGCTAGGGGCGTGTCTGGTCGAGTGCTGCCCAACAGAATCGGCGATTCAAGCGATGACCTTGAGAACGCGCCTTGTTTTGGGTAATACCTAAAGACGTCAGCAATGCTTGACATACCACTTACTCCGCCCGATAATTTGAAGCAGCCAACAAAATGTTTGGTAGTTTTCGGGAAACACTTGTGCAACTGTAATAACGCTTTCAGCACTGGAAAGGGCTACCACTCAAAACATATGCGTATTGAGGTCCATGTAGGGCGTCAATGTTTTCGGAAGCGGTCGCGCAAGATTATCAACGAGTAAAGAAGGCCTAAAATACTCATTAAGTCTACTTTTGACTTCTAACTGCGACGTGGTCAAGTGTTTATATATGTATATATAATACCTGTAGTAAAGCCAGTATGTGAACTCCCTCAGCTCAGTGCCAGTACCGGAAGGGTTTAATCACCTAGTTGTTATTTTATGGCTAAATAGTTTTTGTTGACGCACCGTATCAGTTCCACATCCGGCAAAACGATCAATCAGTGCACAAAAAGAATAAAAGCTCAAGTGAGATGGGTACAGGACCGATACATGCTCATTCCTGAAATTGCCCTTTGCTTTTTCCTCTTTATCTGGCTGAAGATTGTGGGTGTCAGTTCTAGTCATTTTTAGCCGAAACCAAACAATGATGCCTGGGAGTTATCAACGGAGGTCAAAGAACTGATTTAAAGCGCAATAAATCTTCAGCGTGCAACCCAAACCTCGGTGAAACGGCTCCAGTATCAGGCTTACACTGCAATAATTAATCCCTAGTCAGATCATCTTTTGACAAAGTCTCCTGGGGCTTCAGAGTGGCTGTCGACTGTCTGCTAGGAGGCTTACATACGGGTCTTAAATGCTAGTCGGCGCTATTTTGAGGCTGCAAGGAAGCCTTTTTTTTTCGTGTTCATCCTACGCCAGCGTTATGCACTTTTTTGTTTAGTTTAGACTTCGTCAGAGTGTGGGAACCCACAAGTTGGGTTTTTTGTCGGCCTGTAATTTACTCTAGAGATCTTGGGTTTGTTTTCTCCTGACGGGGAAATAAAGAATTCAATTTTGTTACTTCTCTGGATTATTTCCGACTAAACGTTGCAGGCTAGTCGATTAGCTGTTTAAAGTGAACAGGCAATGAAGAACGCCTTGTATCAAGAAACATAAAGAACGTTATTGAATTTCAGTCCTCTGAAAATATTTTGTGGCGCAGTATGTTATTAACGCAAACACACGGCCTCTCTGTGATCACCCTTTGGTTCGGTCTCTAGAATGGAGAGTCAGCGTAACCGTGGTTATTGGTCTTTAGATTATTGCATCCAGCGACTCAAAATTGTATCCCTGGGAATGATTGGCTTAATCGCACCGACAATTATGATAAAGCATCTGAGCACAGCGACACCATGCAATTCGGTTTCAAGAGTATTTCAAAAAGAAAAGTTGAAAAATAGTGTACCCAGCATCTGATTCATTTGGTTTATTGAATTACAGTTTTTTTCGGCGACATAGAATGCCAGGAATAAAGATTTGGAAAAAAGAGGAAACAGGTGAAAACAGACGTTATATTGACATTTGAGTGTATATGTAGCTTCCCGCAACAATGAAACATATCAGAGTAAAAGCAGCTACACAAACAATCTTGTCTTTGTATACATACAACCTATAGGCGGTGCTTATATATTTTATGTCTTTAACCATACAGAGTCAAAGGCAAAACTAGAGGGCCTAAAAGATGCACAATGTAAAACAAATTGTCATATAGTTGCAAGATATCAAATCCAAACTGAAATTCTTTATTTTTCTCCAAGGGAGAAAGCGTAGGGAAAGAAAAAATCAACTTAGTAGTTGCTTCACAAAACAACTGACTCTCCAACAACAACCGTAAGAGCAGACAAAAAACAAGAAAGAAAGCAAAGCTGAACAGAATTACAGGCATACAATAGAAGAAAACAAATTAGCATACAAAAATAGTAACATACGTTCCGTTTGCATACAAGTTTTTTCAACACTAACGGATTCCTAAATAAATACCGTGCGTGTAATTTGACATGAAATATATAAAAAAAATGAAAGACGTTTACAACTCCCTATAATGCCGAAGTGGAGCGCAGCTCTTGAGCACGAGGAGGAGAGGGTACGGAGAGGAGGGTATGCGCCTCCTCCTCCTCTCCCTCTGCTCCTCCCTTCCTCCTCCTCCCCTCCTCCTCGCCCTCCCTCGTGACGTCACTTATGAGCCTATTGACCCTCGTGATGTCAGTCATAAAGACCTCGCGAAGGTCACTGTGAAGGTCGTGACCTTCGTCGTGACCTTCACGAGTGACCTTCGTGACCCTCGTGACGCCACTCGTGACCCACGTGACGTCACGCGTTGCATTATGGGAAACGTCCCATAATGCAACGCGCGATTACGCCGACGGCGACGGCGTCGCCGCTCAAACCGGAAACTGGCGCTTAAGAGCTGCGCTCTAAAAAAACGAATTAACCTACCATAATAGTAGCATACATTCAGTTTGAATACAACCATTTTCTAACACTGACAGAGCCTTCGATATATAGCGTGCGTATATTTTTTCGAGTTGCCTAGTTTTCTAATTCTTATAGTTAGTTAGTATTCATGTAGAAACATTTACATGAATTTTGAAGTTTGTAACTTCATCCAAGGACTAGCCACATGATTAGATGTATGCATCACTGAATAATGATGTCGCGCGTGTATAATTTCATTGTAATCACCGCTCTTTACCCAATAATAAAACTGTCTGGCTTCGGTGCTGCAGTCGAGGATGGCAGAATCAGCTATCACCTCGGAAGACATTGCACGAACAGCCCGTTTTTGGGGCGCAAAACCATCTCGGCAACAACTCTAATCGTGTCACGGTGATGCAGAGAACGCAGCTTGTAGTTCCTCAGCACGTTTGCAACGACAATCTTCTCCTCCATCATCGCAAAGCGTTGCCCTGGAAATAGTAAGATCAAAAACAAGATCGCCAATTGAATCACATCGTAAATTGCGATTTCAGATTGTACCGCGAAAGGGCTAAGTAGCTTGTGTCTCAGAAAAACGGGCGTAGGTGGCGTTCGCTAAAATCCAGGATTGGTCGATAGGGTCATGACGTCACAGCCACATGACCTCGGGCGAGAATTTCAAACAACCCACGATGCTCACATGAAACGTGACGTGATTTGAAACATAATTAGAAAATATGATATGTAATGCGAAATCGAGGTTGCCGCATGTCTCAAATGATTTCACTTTATAAAAAAAATCAGATGCCTTAAAAAAAAAATATTTGAAAACGTTTAGGCGGCTTTCGGTTGCGAGCCAGACACACGCAAGGCACGTTCGCTTGGGAACGCGCGGGAGTTCCTATGTTTGTATGTTTCGCTATCGCGTTCCACTCTTAAAGGCGAAGCTTAAGCGTCCTCCAAGTTTCTTATGCGCAGGAGAGTGACTACACGTTTCACCTTAAATTCAAACGCAGCTGACGCTACGAGCTGATGGGTCCAATCAGGCAGTGTCAAAAGCGCATGTTTCTGTACGTGTTTTATAATTACTGAGTAAATCATAAAAAAGAAAACACCTACTGACTTGTGCTTTTGATGCTGCTTGATTGGTCCCATTAGCTCGTATAGCGCCAGCGGCGCGTGAACTTAAGCTGAAACGAAGTATAGGTAGGAATTACGTAAATATCATTGCGATAAGTAAAGTGGTCTATATGAACGAGATTTTACCATTTCTATGTCCAAATCGAAGGTTTTGAATATTAGCCAAGAAATAAAGATAAGGCAAAGGGCTATAGTCCCAGACAGTCTAAGAAACGCAGGGCGTGGTTTTTATCATGTTTCTTGCTTCGTGATTTTTTTTCCCCCTCTTATTGACAAAAGCTGCAATCTCATTGGCCCGGAGTAATCATCACATGCTTGGAACCTTCAACACGAGCAGCGTTTCCTAACCTGTTACTGCCTATGCGGAGCGCAAGTTCGTCTGCTTCTTTTGCAAGGGTTGCGATGACGTCAAAATGCCGAGCTCTGATTGGCTCCGATTGAAAGGATAGTGGGTACCTCAAGGTAGCTTGCTTTGAGGTCTGCCCGCTATCCTTCCAATCAGAGCCAGTCAGAAGACGGCGCTCTGACGTCATTGCAACCCCTGCGTAAGAAGCAGACGAACTTGCGTACCGCATAGTGGCCAAATCCGCGCTTGTAGAGTTTGCATGACGCTACAGATAAGCTCAGTTCAGCATCGCAGATCAAAGTGCACGAATTTGATTTGGGTTCGTCATTGGCAAACATCGTTTTATATAGATCGAGATGCTCTCTAGCTGTCAGGCGTGTGGAAGCGAGCGCACGAGACATTTTTTTTTTTTTTTTAGAGGGCGTCATTATATGAGATCTGATATGCTCACGCGTTCACTTACCGATACAATTCCTCGGGCCGGCCGAGAAAGGAACGAACGCGAAGGGATGCCGCCCCTTGGCGTTTTCCGGAAGAAACCTCTCGGGGATAAATTCCTCGGGCTTTGGGAAAACGGTTTCGTCTCTGTGCAGGTTGTAAATCGGGATTTGGACAGTCGCACCCTTGGGCACCGTGTTTCCAGCTGAAGGAAAAGCCACGGATAAAAACAAAATACAAATGTGAATAGTTGTTATTTTAATACCAAATCGCGCTCCTGCTGACGGTGTCATGGACACTCCACGCACTATACGTACTGGACGCACTAATGTCCATTTGAGTAATCATCAGGGCTGAACAGTTGCAATTAGCCTGCCAAATTATACACAGAGAAGTTAAATCGCCTTATTTCAGTGCATCCTGTTTTCTTGCTGTCGAAACCATAGAGTTAATATTGTGTACGCTGGTAGTCCAACTGGCTCTAATGTGAGGTTTCGAACTGAAGCAGACGGCAACCAGTCCCATGTTGACTTCCAGTATTGCATTTATATGGGAAAAGGTGGGTGCACTTTCTCCCTGCGCTTGATTATAAGAGCAAATGTGACGAATAATTCACATGTACTAAATGGCTTGGAACATTTCTCAGTCACGCAAATGAAAATATTGGCCGGTTTCAGCGTTTTTCTTTCATATTCATGGCATGAAAAACGGTGCTAATGTACCTTCGTACATGTATTTATGTTCACTGTCCGATACTGCTAGTGCGAACATGGCATTGGCGCTTTTCTGCAGGTGGGTTCACGTCCCAAAACAATAAAGAGCATCTAGAAAATCAAGAGAGGCGTCTAGAAATACGCTGTATCAGTACATGTGCATGTAGACGGCGAAAATAAAGTGAAGCCAATTAATGGGCATTCGTCCTATTCACACTAAAACTCATACATGGGTACAATGGTAAGGTTGTTCTAGCGTTCAAGACTCATATCTGCATGCTCGAAAACTTTTAAAATGGAGGAAAGCCAGGAAACTAGCCGCCCGAAAAATTTAGCGTAATAATAAGAAGAGAATCATATTTTATTATATCATAGTGCCTGCAATTTTATTGTTTTACGCGTTTTAACTGCTCGTAAATGGGGGTAATTTTAGTCCCATATAACTCTCGCAAATTATCAATATTACCGTCATCCTAGGTTCTTTCCGACTGGTATTCCTGCTTAGATTCGTCGCTTGTCTTAACACACTTGCCCTGGAACATAGGATTGGGCCCGAAATACTGCGAACTTTAACATCGCTCACTGATCGTAAAATAACTGTAACTCAAACAATTTCAATTTCATAATGTTAATAAAGGCACTTAGTATTCGCTACGATCCAAGTAACAAAGGTAATTCTTGATATTCTCCGGCAAAGAGATAAAATGTGCGCCTTTTCCCATAGCAAAGGAGCACCGCAAAAGTGAACTGGTCTGCGTGTGCTTCAATTTGTAAACAGAAGTTATGTATAACACTAGAGCAATTTGAACCTCTAGCATTCAATATAATAGCTCTATGGTCGAAACGTGCGTACGGCTTTCCTTGCTTTTACCTTCGTTAACCAGATAAAATGCAGAAAGCCTTTTGGTTGGAGTACACGACTATGCTCAGTTTCAGCTTACAATGAACCATAGCAGACACTACAAGCTTTCCCAGTCAATTAAGGCGCAATGGATTGGCTTCGGGCTTGTATAATATCCTCTGCAGTTCATGGTAGCAAAAATTACGCCTTGTGGCTTCTATCGTGGCTCGTGGCCGCATCTAGACGTAAGACATACTGCAGTGCAGTCAGGCGTACGTGGACCAATGCTACAGTGGCAGTGAGCCTTAATCGACCACAACGCAACGAAAGGTACGGAAGAGTTAAGACAAGTAAAAAGAGGCAGATCGATATAATCACCAATAACGAGATCTTCCGAGCACGTTCTGGCAATAAACGGCACCGATGGATACAGGCGCTGTGATTCCTGCGATTAAAAGAAAGCCCTTAGCGGCCGACATATATATTGTGAGACGCATGCTGAAATACCGGTTACCTTCAGACAGCACTCTAGGTACTTCATTTCCTTCAAGTCGTTTGATGTAATCTGTCGGACCTTGTCATCACCAAAGATGGAATCCAACTCTTGATGAATTAAGTCTTGTTGTTCCCGGTAGAGACCAATGAGGTATAGAGCCCAACTGATGCCCATGGCTGTGGTGTCGTGTCCCTGAGAAGATGCACCAAGCGGGAAATGCTTACGTTGGCTCAAGAAGCCATGCATCTTTTGTGCGGAAGGAAATAACTTCACTCGTTTTGTTTCAAAATGTATGTAATTTAAACAGGGTTAATAACTGACATAGGCTCATAACGCACCCTTTGGCGATAAAACGTGCGGTAAAACACGGGTATACTTACTTAAGAAAATAACCTAGAGTGGTCTATAGAAATATTTAGCGTGCACTTTAAGCTAGCATTTAATAATTGCGTAATCTAAAGCCCGTATGGAATGGTTGTATGGTAGACTAGCGTCAGTCGAGTACTAAGCAAGTTACAACATCCACTTCTTTAGAGGTAGGATTAGAGACTACAATTCTTCTAATAAAGATAAATAAATGACGAGTCAGGGGTAAGAAACATTCTGATGTTAGATAACGAATCTAACATTTTGACTCTGTTAAATATATAAATAATCGATGCTGCCCGCTCTTACATGTATTTAATTACTCTAAACGAGTAAGAAAACGTCTGGAATTACAACTTTAGTTCAAACTTCTGTTTTGGAGCTCGTATGGAGTTTCTTCATTTAATCACACACATTCTACATGTTGCTGCAATGTTGGGTTAAACTTCCCCGTATACTCTGGGAGAGATATAATTTAAAAAAAGGAAAGTATGACAGCGGTGACAGACAATAAAGAACTACAATGACGAACAGGCTGACTCTATAATGCAAACTGTAAAACCACAAAAAAAAAAAAAAACAAAAAAAAAACAACCGCATCATTCCTTGTCAAGCGAACACGTCAGACAACCCTTGTTTGACGCGGTTCCGTAAGGTTCCGTGTTTTCGGTAAATACAGATAAAACTTGAAAATAAACGCCCGAGGCGGTTATATCACAATTTGGGGAAACCGATTAACCCGAAGTCGGAGTTTCTGTTTTATATATAAAAAAAACCAAAAAAAAAAACAAAAACCGAAGCTTCACGGGGAGTAAATCGTTGTCAGCAGTTTCATTTCATGTTGACCAGGAGTGCGCTCCCAAATGAGCTGTCCACGAGGTTTTTTTTTTTTTGCTTCAAAACTACACATCTTATCGCGTTTATCTTTTTAGTGGTGCCGGGCCGTTTTAAAAGTACTCGGATCACGCGTATATTCCGTGGAGTTGGGGAATCTCATGTTTATGTCCTATTTTCTTTAGCATAAGCCCCGATAAACTCGGATGTTTTGTTCCAGAACAAAAACTGATATCGAAAAACCCAGGTTGCACAAACGAAAATCTCCCCCCTTCCCACACACAAATTCGAAAAATAAAATAGAATAAACCACGATGACACGAAATTTGTTTATAAGTTATGACGTAGTCTTTCTTTAGGATTCAGTTGTTAATCCAGCGCTTGGTTTCTTACTTCTTTCTACTCTCTTGTCTTTCGGTGTTGCAATCCTTTCCACTTATGGCATAAGTCAAAGTGTTTACCTCGAACATAAACGTGTCGACCTCCTCTCGGACATCTTCTTCGGTGAAATTATGAGGATCTTTTAAATGTTCGCGAAGCAAGATGTCAAGGAATGTTCTCTTGTGGCTTGACTTCATGCCATACACGTCGTCGTCGTCAGCGTTGTCGAAAGCCTCCCGGGGCTCATTTTGTAGCTCTTTCTTCCTCTCCTGAATCACCTAGAAATGGGACATTATTCAATGAGGTTTACTTGTAGCCGCCGTTGAAACGTCGTCCCTACATGCTTTCTCAGTATGTTTTCTCGTTGTAGGATTTTCTTTCATTCATCATTACTGTACATCTTACTGAAAATAAACACAGGGAGGGACACGACGAAACAGTCGAGTGTTGCGTCGTCGTGGTCGTTCCTGTGTTTATTCTTTCCGTAACGTATAATTTGAACAACGTGCTCACCTCTTAAACGGAAATATTTTATAGTAAAGGAACACGAGAAAAAGGAGTCCAACGTTCTTTCCCTTAAAAAGGGAGCTTTTAGGCTTTTTCTCTTCTGTTGAATTTTGTTTCGAACTCTAAAAAGAAGAATTTTTTTTTTTTTAGAAAATACACTACGGAAAAATTGTAGAACCCATCTTTAACGGAACCAGAGTTTCTCTCGAGAATCGCAGGGAGAGGAATAGGAACCTAATTAGGGCACCAGGGTCGCACGACCCTGGCTTCCTTTGAAAATCGAAGCGTCCCGCACCTGTGACACTTCTTTTTCGCTGATTCCGCGACAAAACCCGTGCGATTATTGTATTTTCCGTTCGATCTATTTGTGACGAACTAAATAATGTGATTGAATTAAAGCTTGTTAATTATAGGCTGTACTACGTTTTCCGCTGTCTGTTCAGAGTAAAATTTAACTCCTAAATTTTCTTAGTATTTTTCGAAAGAGCTTATCTGCTCCGTTGCCGCCCTGAACACAGTCGCTCTGATCAGTTCCGACAGGGAAGGGAACCAGGTCGCTAGCGACATTCAGCTCCCAATATGAAACAAATTTGTACACATTCGCAATGATATACACTGGGCTTAGGAAACGAAATTATCAGATAAAGCGGAATTCATTTATTAGAGTCGTATTGACTGGCGTCGGGAGTACTTACGACACGCTTTAAACTTGGTCCCACGGTGTAATATGTTAAATCCCGTAATCGGTCGCCTTTCCTTCTTTTAATCATGTCAATTATAGCTCGAATAAAAAAAGAAATGAAAGACGTTTACAATTCTATGGAGAGCGCAACTCTTGAGGAGGGGGAGGGGAGGGTACGAAGGGGAGGGTCACGTGTGACGTCACGAGGGTAATATTTTGCCGCTAAATTAGACAAACATTTTACCGCTAAATTTAGCGGAAAATTTTTCGGCAAATTCAGCAGGGAAATTTTGCCCTCGTGACGTCACACGTGACGTCACATGTGACGTAATTATGATATAATGCAACGCGCGGTTACGCCGACGGCGACGCCGCTTAAGCCGGAAAAGGGCGCCTAAGAGCTGCGCTCTAAAATCTATAACACATCAGCCTGATCATATAGACCAGGGATCTCCCAACCCCGGCCCGCAGGCCAGATCGGGCCCGCGGAAGTCTTCCGACCGGCCCGCTATCTACATCCAGCAGACCCGCTGTTACTGGCGCAGAAAGAAGTGCGCGTATGAAAACGGTGCCGCGACGTGCTCCAAATGCGCATACGAGCGTGCCAGGAAAAAAAAAAAGAAGTGAGAGAAACTGCATCGTAACGCGGGTCCTCTAGCCATATCATTAAATGAACATGGTCATCGTCAACATCACGTGCCGTTCTTAGACCCCTGCTTCGTATCTGTGCACTTACGCTGCCGTGTAAAATTGTGCTTAGTGTTCCTTGTCACAACTAGTGCATATTGGCAACGTTAGCTGTATCATTCTCATTAGTCTTTTGCACTACTTGAATGTGTCGAAGTTCTCATGCGCTTTGAATTATGCCTGGTGAGTTTTCTTGGTCACAAGGGTCGTGTGACGTCATAGATGGCCAAATATTAATGCGAAAGCATAAACTGTCCCATGGAGCGAAGGCGGCGTTGTCCGATGTCTGTAGCAGCGACAAACGGAACATAAATACCCAGTTGACTGAGCGAAACGGCACGTAAATTGCCATTAGCTGCAGAGCGGACGCGAGCGCACCACGTTTTCCTTTGCCACACAGTGCTCCCCCACTGCGCATGCGCGGCACCCCCGCCTTCTCCACGGCTTACGTGACGATGTATCTGCGTTGCTGTGCTTTTCTTTGTGTTTTATTTCTTAGGCGAGTCCGCTTCGGCCTTGAGTGCCCCGCCGGCTCATTCCTACACGTAAGAACTTTAAAACGTTTTCGTTTGATTTTTTTTTTAAATTTTAAATTGATAAATGTAATTAACCACCTTAAAGTTTCTTTCAATTCTTAATCTAACATGCATTTCTGCGTTTTAATGCTTGGTTAGGTTTATTCATTTAGTTTTTTTCTCGTCTATATTGACTTTTTTCCCCCCCTGCCCTCAAGACCGCGACGGATACCTAATGCGGCCCCTTAGCCAAAAAGGTTTGGGGACCCCTCCTATAGTGACCAACACGCTGCTGTTCTGGTTTCAGGGCACGCGCAGTGCCGTGCACCTTGTATGGGCAAACGCGGCCGGGCTTGTTTGTAGAAAACACGTTGTTCTGTGCGCAATTGAAATCTAATGTTCAGCAGAAGCCTATGCACATTTTTAAGCATGCTTTTGACTACATCTCGGTCGGAGACCCATGCATGCGAGGAAACCTAACAAAATTGAAATTTGCACGCGCGTGACTCCACGAGCAGGGACATAAGGTGCGGCGCACAGATCATCGGATTGCAATTCCATGCGCGGGAGTTTAAGGTTGTGAGCTTTGTTGCATTTTCGTGAGCAATATTTGTTCGGTGCATGTTTTGCATAGTCATAAGGTCTATTAGGAAAAGATAACCGTTCCGATATTATTACCTTTGTGGTAAATTCGTGCAGTTCTTTTATGCTGTCGTAGAACTGTCTCCCAGATTGAGATAGGCGGAAAATAGGTTCGATCCAGAACGCTGGCGATTCAAGATGGCGCGTGAAAGCTTCTCCAACTCTGGACAAATACAAACAAATCAACAAAATATTTAAAAAAATGTAGATCAGGAAAAAAGTCATAATCTTGTTAAGTTTAACACGACAGGACAAAAGGCTTGAGGTAACAGTAAACTGACACAGCCATAGTTGTTTTTTTAGCACTATCACATTGTTTATATTTCTTTCATAAGCACAGAAACTTTCAGGAAAGATATGAATGTATTATCCTTGAGAACGAGAAACAATTTGTAATTTAACCGTTTGTGGAGCGTGGGAAAAATATGATCCCGGAAACCCGATCTCTTAGCGAGAACAGCCGTGATGGCGAGATTGCAAAAGATGCGGTGAAGAGCCAGGATAATACGTATATCGACGGTGCCATGTATGATGTTGCGGCCAGGTATACATTATTAACTCGCTCCCAATTATCACTTCTTTACGTGAGAACAGTCGTGAAATAACGCAAGTTGTCACAAAATTATTAGACACATGTTTGAACTCACACTTGAATTGCTTGAACATAATCAGAGCACTTGTTCTTTTGGGCATTAATAACGTATCCCATTATAGTTTCTGAAAAAAAGAAAAGTAGGCAGTGAAATTTAAATTTGAGTTCTAATAACCTGACATGTCTAAATGTGTTAGTGGATCTTCTACACGGTAGATTCGAGCGCTTAATTAAAGAATAAAGATAACGTATTTTTTATAAACGCACTATTTGCGTGTTTTTCAGCCAATTTCGTGCAAAATCTACACAGAAGTAACTGTTTTTGATTATATGCCAAGAAATATATATATATTAAATATACGGAATTTACTTTCCAAAGTTCCGCCATACGCAAAAGGCTACAATTTGTGAATGTTATGTAATCTTTTTCTTCTTTTTTCCGGCTCGTGAAATGCTGTTTAGTTTCTCTGTCAGACAGGAGTTTTGATTTAGAAAAACAACTACATAGGCCAAACTAAATGTATAGAAGCTACATACCACAGATGATGTCTAGAGTGCACATGGTGACCAGAGGAACGATGTTGTACGAACGTTCTTTCCCTTGGCTTCTTAAGTTTTCGACGAACACCCTCGACTGCGTATTTACTATGGGCAAAAAGTCTTCCAGTATTCGGAAATGAAAGGCTGGTGTTAGAAGTTTCCGTCGGAGCTTCCATTTGGATCCTGCACTGAAACATCAATTAGATTTGTTGGTTATGATAGTTTCCTGGGTTCTTTCAATATAAATATAAGGACAACCTTGTTAGGAGACCACTTGCCAACCAGGGACGTATGATATCATATTCTTTTCCCTTGTCCAAAATAACGTTGCTGGTCAAAAGTTCCTGAAACAACAACAAAAAAAAAATGCACACGAATAAATTATGTGCAAAACACATGTTCGACACGTATACTTCTTGCACCCTTTAAGTTTGCTGGGCAGCATCTGAAAACCTCCCTTTCTACTGGGTGAGTCAAAGGTATCGTTTGTTGTTTGAGGAGCTGCATAAATTGGTTTCGTACCGTATCGATTTAACCTTTTGTACAAAAGTGGTAGGACATGGTTAAGTTTTTTTTTGTGTATAAATACCTGTTTAAAACGATATGATCTTACCCGAGTAAAGAGTAACAAACGAGGTGCGTGAATTCGGTACCTCTGATGGCCATCCGCGACTGAAAGACGTCCGAGTGACGTAAGTGCCGAGAGGGGACGGCAAATCTTGACATTGCCGGATTTTCCCGGCAAAGAATCTTTCTTGATAGATTTGTGTCCATTCAGTGCGTTTAATTTATAAAGGTATAAAAAATATCGGCACGTTAGGGGGACGCCTGCAGTCTTACATTCCTGTCGGCTGACGCACCATTCACTCTTTTTTTTTTAGCAGACTGCCGCCGCAGTTAGCGAATTAACGCTCTTAATTTGTTACTATTTGCTGAGGTAAGCTAATTTTTTGTAGTTTTGATAGCCATAAGGCACAGATATTCGACCCCTTGTGTCCAAAATAATATCCCGATAAGTTAAGAAACCGATTATGCGGTCCGTTCAAACGGCCGACGGTCGCTTTGACTCACGTGCAGTATGGTGACCGACATCTTAAGAAACGCAGAGCTTGACATTATCTCCAGGCTTCTTTTTCGTGATTGGCTCTTGGACGTTGTTATTTGTCGATTCCGCGAAATCATTAACATCGGAGCGATAGCAGGATGTCCAGGACTATGTGTTTCTTTAGCTGGTCGCTGACAATAGAGCCAACGCTCTTTCCCAGAAAGCACTTTTCCAAACCACCATCTTGTACCTCTAGTCTTCGCTTTCATGTAGACGTACGGGTGAATGAAGTGTAAAGGAATTCCCCCCCCCCCCCCTCCTCTCCTTTCGGAGGAAAACGCTGTTGTGGCTCAAGTCGCCTACTTCCATAGGCACGTTTAAACCGTTCATTGCCCATTCGTTTTGCTGCACTATACATATTACGCATAAACCGCATTATCTGAAAAGCCTTCTGGTTAAGCGCGAGTACAGATACGTTACTGATGAATATCTCTTGTTTTTGAGGAACGGATCTTGCTGGCACACTCGAGTCGCCTCTGTCAGATATGAAGGTCGTCATACTAGAATGTATGTATTCATGACGTAACTTTTAACCTGTCGGGACCCGTTCGCTCGAAGCGCGGTTAAGCGCTAATCGCGGTTAAAGTTAGTCGCAGTACGTAGGTGAGGAATTTCGAAATCACGTGACTGGCTCGGTAGGGATGCGGAGAAACATGGCGGTGCCTTGGTGAATGAGCGCCGCGCTCGCTTTGAAACTAGTATGTCGTTGTAGCTGCAATATCGGGCGCGTTAGTCAGCAATGAATGGTGCAGGAGGCTTTCGCTTTGCTTTACCTTACTTAAATCGCAAAGCATAAGCAATGACCTCGCCGCGTTTTTAAGATAGTCTTTTGATTCTGGCCATTCCTAAGCCTAAATGAACGCGATAATTGTCGGCATGGCAACGTCTCCGGAAAGTGGATTGCCTTGACTCAATCGGCCGGGTATTGATAGCACACAAAAGCAGACAGCTTCCCAATAGACCTTTTTCTAAATTTCCCAATCACCGAGGTGGATGCTACGAGTGCAGTTACACGGGTTGCTCGTGCTGTCGTTTGCAGTTGTAATTGTTCTAAAGCAAAAGTCAAAAGCAAATTTTGCCTCGTACGCGCGGTCGTCAAAGCCTTTTGACCCCGTAAGTGATGACGTCACAACATGGCGTCTGGGTCCAAACAAACCGTTGCTAGGGACGCTGCTATGAACTAATGCATGGAAACTCCACATGAGGCTAGAGTTTTGCTTACAAGTAAATAATTTTTTGTAAGCAACCTAACTTCTTGATATCTATTTATGAATATGTTCTTGTCGTCTCAGTGTCGTATAGCAATAATGAAAGCCATTTCTGAAGTATTACACTCCGCTTGCTTTGGTAGCAGACGACACGATAGATTTGCTGGCCTCTGTTGCAACGGGCGTCTTCATTGAATTGCGTCGGTATACAAGCGACAAAAACAAGTGCTTTGCCGTGGCCGTAGAGACCTCCGCAATGTGCGTTTTTTTCCTGTGAAGAACCCAGCTTACCTCAGAGGGGTGAAAATGCCGTAAAATCAAACGACGTCATGCCGATCATTTACGACGACGACCTGAAGTGCATTACCGGCGTAGTGCAAACCAGTATGAGAAACAAATCGTACGCCGTCAAGGTAATTCGTTGATTATTATTATGATTATTATTATTATTGAGGTTGTCAGTTTATTAAAGAATTCCATGTCTATTGCGATTTTTCAGTAACCTGCAGCGGTGGTCACAACCAGGTACGACGCACCCTCACATAGCGTGAGTCCACAAACAAAATTTGGGATCTCGACCGATCGCCTGAAGTGCTTTTCTCACGGGTCTAATGCGATCTTTTAGGAGAAGATCATCTCAATCGACGCCCGGACTTTCGATAAACCATATTTGGCATCGCACCCCACCATAAATTCTTTTAAGTCTCAAAATCATTATATTTAGAACAAATGCAATATCCTTATTAACACGATTCAAACGACGGCGCCGGCTTGGCCTGCCGGCGTGTGGCAGACGGCATACTTCTTGCATTCGTCGTCTGCTGCAGGCATCTTGAGGACCGGAAGTTGCAGTCATAAATATTTTAGAAACAAGCGATTGCTGGCACACTTCTGTCGAAACATATATGACATTCAAGCTTTCGATATCTGTGATTTTTAGAAGTTTAAATCCCACTCCTGATTTTTGAACGGTCGGGTTTTCGCAGCGAAACCTAGCCACATGTATTTGTCCATAACAACGACCCTAGCAACGGTTTGTTTGGACCCATGACGTCACACTTACGAAGTCAATTATGATTATTTACTTCGAATATTTTATAAGAGGAAGGCCAGCGCGTGCGGACCGTAGAATTACACTTCCAGCGTTCTCCTCGATGCTTGGGTAATCTACTAATAGGTCTATTTTCACTGGAGCCGAATTACAGGTTTTTCAATTTATGATGGTGTTATATACAGTTGTTACATTTTGGCCAACCATGCTGCCGGTGTACTGCCCGCCTTTCACTGTTTACTTCTTCCTTATTTTTTCTAGGACTGAAGTTCGTCGTTCTTTTCGAACTTGGAAGGAAATTTCAACGAGGCTTGTCTTTAATTAAGACAGCCAAGCATTTAGAAATTTTTGAAACAAGGGAGAATTTAGTTTTACCTTACCCAATATCTGTACCAACGAGCAACAAAAAAATTGCCTGCTCAAATGTATGCCGCGCTGCGTCGCGAGAACCCGGTAGCGCGCGTTGTTGGGTCCCCCCTTTTTGGGAACTTTTCCTACGGAAGCCACTTACATTCGCTACAACCAGTAGAAGATACCAGTTATCATCCTATAATAAAACACGGAGCTACCGCTCATCCAGCCCTCGTCACACTTGGCTAGGTACTTGTAGGTACCTAGTAGGGAAGGGTGGTCAACTTTTAACCGCGGTTAATGGTAACCGTCTTCGAGCAAACGGGCCCTGTAGACAAACACCAATGCGATCGCGAACGTGGAAAGTGTGTACGCCGCAGCCATTTTGTCAAACAAAGCGACGGGGCCATGCGTGGCTCCCCGCATCCCTACCGAGCCAGTCACGTGATTTCAAAATCCCTCTCCTAGGTACTGCGGTTAACTTTAGCCGCGGTTAGCGCTTAACCGCGCTTCGAGCAAACGGGCCCTGAAGTTCGGTTTTATTAATCGGCTATTTTCATGAAGGTCTTTAAGCTACATTGAACGATGAAGTTATACGTAAATAGTGCAAATTTATAACACTTATGAAGTTTGAAGAACTTACGGTCTGGTTTCGTGTACACTTAATAAGAGCGCGTTTGTGTGAGGTTAGCAAATACAATGTCAGTTGTAGGAGCTCGCTGTGTGTCCGTGGACACACAGTTCTGTTAAAGAGAACAAAAAATACCCTTGAACGTGGCATATTGCTCTCTTGTTTCTATACTGGTTTGCAGCTCCCACAGATTGAATTTCAGATATTCCCTACTAATTTCCTGTTGAAATTGCCCTAGGCATGCGTCCAAATAAGACAGCCATCGGGCTGTCTTATATTGTACTTAAAAGTGCCGAGAAAGAAAAGCCAAACCTCGACAGGGTCTGCCGTGTAGATCGCTAGCACAGCCTGTGTTGCATCGTAAAACCTGAACATCCCTTGTTTTTTGAAGCATAGCGAAGACCCCGCGGCGAGTTGAAATACTTCTGAAAAAGAGAGGTTCAGAAATAGCCGATACACAACAACAAATCAGAGCGCAGTAATGTACAATACTCGTGTTACGGCTATTAGTCTCAATTAGAGAGAAGTTGCCTTACACGAGGTGCTACAATAAACCTCGAGGTTCGGCTACTACCCAGAAATCTTCGAAATTTCGGCAAAACTCGAGGAAGTTTGAACTTTGAACAGCGTTCCCCAATTTGTACACGATCATTTAATATTTTATAAAAAGGTATTTATAAAACAGTTTATTTGAAATTTAAAAAGAAAAAAAAATCTACCCAATGTTTACGAAACCTGAAGCCAAACATCAAATGTACTCTTGTTATCATCTTGCTAGTTTGATACTCTCTTCTGTGTGTTGGCGTCAGCTCGTTCTAAACTTCCGCTCATTAGTGTAATAGTCGAACTTTCGTCGAACGCATGTCGAAGTTCTTGTCAAATTTTCGGAAAAGTCGAACCTGTTTGAACTCAAACTTCGGCAGATTTGAGATGTCCCTTCCCTTCTTTAAATTATGAAATAATCGTAAACCTGACGTGCCGCGTTATTGTTATCTTTTCCTTCCAGATTACCCGTCATATTTGTATCGCGGTTGATATTTTGTACCTATTACTATAACAGAGTAACAACATTCTTCTCACAGACTTCAAGCTGCCGGAGGCGCAAAGTTCGCTGTAACCTTCGGTAGTGTGGCCGTGTTTCGCACTTTCTTTCCCTATACATTTTTTGAAAAGGTTCGAAGGTCATTCATGGAAGCTGACTTTACCCACGGTGAAAATCAATTGCCATGTTCATTGGCGTTATTTATTGTTATTTATCTATTCATTGATACTGCAATCCCTGAAAGGGATTTTAGCAGGTGGGTACATTTGATGAATAAAACAGGCAGGCTTACAAAATAGCAAATAAGTCGGAGAAACACAAGAACAAATATTTTACAGAGGGATAAAACTAAGTTTGGAGGGATTCAAATAACGACAATGATGGCTTCATAACAGCACTTTCAGAAAGGTTACTCCAATCAGTCACCGTTCGCGAAAAAAAAAAAGAAGAGTACTTGAAGCAGTTACTATGCGATCGGAAATGAGTTAATATGAGGGCATGCTTCCGTCAAGTAGCGTAGCCCGATGAGAAGATTATTAGGTAAGTCAGATCCATCCTACAATGTCCATTTATTAATTGTTACAAAGATTGTAGTCGAGAAGGCCGATTTTCCTGACATAATGACTTTAAGTTAGCTGTGGTTAAAAGTTCGGTTATAGAGGTACGTCCAAAGCTATTATAAATGTATCGAGCTGCCTTTTTCTGCACACGATCGAGCTTGTTAATGTTTAATTTGGTGAAGGGATCCCAAATGATAGCCGCGTAATGTATTGTTGGCAAGACTATAGCTTTATATGTTAGACGACGCAAAGAAGGGGTAGAAAGTCTTAGCGTCCTTCTAAGAATGAATAAATTTCGAAGAGCAATAGACGTCACGTAATTCACTCTGTTTTATCAAAGTATGATTATGAGTGATCCATAGTCCAAAGTATTTATATTGTGTTACTTTTCATAGAATAATAATTTTGGTATTGTAAACAAACTTCAAATAATTTCTTTTGTGAGTAATTCTCATAAAACCGTGTTTTCAAAGTTAATAGTCATTTGCCACTTCGTAGACCATTCTGCGATATTTTAAAAAGCTCTATTTAACAAAAGTTGATCGGAAGCACTAGCTATTTCGTGGTAAATTATATAATCATGAGCGTATAACTTGGTTTTTACTGGAACATCTTGTACCATATCATCAATAAACAACAAGAAAAGGAGGGGTCCGAGCACAGTGCCCTGGGGAACGCCAGAGTGAACAGAAAGTCTATCAGAGCAATTTTCTCCGTAAACTATACGATTTGTCGACGATTTGAAAGGTATGCTGAAATCCATTTGACTAACTCTGTGTTCTTACATATTTCTTCAATTTGTGTAGTAACAGTTTGTGAGAGACCTTATCAGACGCCTTCGAAAAACCCATGAAAATATCAGCAAATTGTTTTCTATTGTTTATTGCCGAGGAGAAGTCGTGAACAGTCCAAATTAATTGAGTACACGTTCAGAAACGTTTTTGGAATCCATGCTGGATTTTAGTCAAGGTGTTGTGTTCGTCTAGAAATTTTGATAAATGATTATGTATTATATGTTCAAGAAGTTTACAGGCAGTTGAAGTCAATGAAATTGGATGGTAATTTTGAATGCACTGCTTGTTTCCCTTCTTATGAAGTGGTTTGACGCTGGCCATTCTCCAGTCGTCTGGAACTTGACCTTTGGACAGCGATCTTGAAAACAGAACCAATAAATATTTTGAGACCTATTCATCATACCTGGATAAAAATCATTGGGGATACTATCGGGCCCAGGGGATTTTTTACATCCAATTTCAAAAGCTTATTCAATATACCACATTCACTAATTACAATATCAGGCATAGGCGGATAGTCAGCGTCAAAATTAGGTAACACATCATTGTTTTAGTAACCGATTTAAAATGTTCATTAAATGCGTCTAAAATTATTTTTTCTACATGGGTTTCATTTTTCTTCACCGCCAGTTTCGAAAAAATATTAGAAAACAGTTAAATACTATATAAATATTAAAGGTACTGAAATGAGGTGCATCACGCAGGTGTTCGGCAGGGAAACACGAAAGCAATACGCATCTGTTTCTTATTTTAATATCGTACGTAATAATACAAAAAAAAAAAAAAAGAGAACAGACAGGTTCTAATGAAAATATGGCCGCAAAATATACATAAACAGCATACTATTATTAAACAAAGTGTAAAACACCATGAAGCGCATTTTCTCTCTTACGCGCATTGCGGTTGGCAAGATCAACAATGCTTATTTAGTTGCAGTTTTGTTTTCATTGGTTCGGCCTCTGAAATGGACATCCTGGTGCCATGGTATGTCGACGCCATCTTTCAGATGTTGCATCCGCGATTGCGTCGACTTCTCATTCCCGAAACGTGCTCAAGGTGACAAAAGACCAACACTTGAAGGTCGCACCCTCTCCAGGAAGTGCATTCCAGGTATATGTTACAGTCACAATGGGCTCGATACAATCTTGGCTCGTACTGCATGATGCTAATCTTTAAGATCTCCCAACGTACTCACGGAGGAAGAATGATAAAGAAATAGGTACTGACGAGTTCCGTAGTCAACAAGGTGGGCCTGCTTCGACAGAGTGCGATGGATCTTCCACGTGGAGAGCATCGGTATCATTGGCATTGTCGAACTTGCTCCGGGAAACTTTTTCATGAACTTCCAGGTCTTTAGCTGTCGGGTTTTGATGTAGCACAGAAACAAGATGAGGCACGAAATCAAGCTTGCCGCCAAAATGGATGCGTAGACCACCAACGCACTGAAAATTGGCAGGACATCCTCTAACGTACACATAGCGATCCGACTCACTGATGCCATTGCGAGCATTACGGGAGCTAACTTTTCTTAAAGGGGGACGAGGGTAAGAGCAGACGATTGAGATACCGGCAATTACGGCACGCATCGGCCCAGCTAAGAGACTTTCACCGGAACGATCGTTGTTTTTTTGCACGCGTGAGATATCGTATCGTTGGAGGGTACGTTGTCTAAATATAGATAGACCTCGTGGAGCCCGCCCTATCAAAAGTGGCACTACTAGCGACACCAAAAGTCCGCCTCACAGGAAGCCAGAGAAAAAGCTCCGCTGCTTTCTACGGAACGGGTAATGGGCGCCCTCCAGTATTGATGTTCCGAACTCGGCGTCCGCGCTTCTTTGAGTCGCGCTTCGAAAAAGCGGTTATGTTACGGGTGAATGGCGGCGAGGCAAATTGGCTGCGCGCTGAATCCGCCCTATTCGCTCCTTTAGTACTCAGGATGTGGTTTGTCGTTTCTGCATCATTGTTTCGGACATGGGGTATGCGCATAAAAACATTCTACAGACAAATGCCGTATTTTTCGGCGCACAAGTCGCGGTGTTTTCCCCACCTTTCCGCAGGTGCGTCTTATACAGCGGTGTGACTTATGTGCGTTTTATTTGAGTAAGTGTGAACCTTAACCGTGCAACATCTAGGCCGTATTTATATCTATGACATAACAGGAACTCCAGAGTTTCCTCCGATGGCCTGCTCTTCTGGCTATCCGAAGACGGTTCGAAGGCGTAGGTTCGCTGCTGAGCTCCGGCGACCATACTGAGAACTTATACAAAAGTGCGACTCATAAACCAAAACGGACGCTACTCATTGAGCGTAACCGTATAGCTGCATTATAGGTGTGTTTTACTGAATCCTGCATCTTATTAGAAAAATGTTGAGGTGACTGAAAGACTGTTTCAGACTTATTTCACTAAAGAATTCTTTCAAAATCTATGATGCCATTTTCAGCGGGAGCGGTTTTTGATGAGCCTGGCACGGTGAGGACGGCATTCCAATGTTTGCGGGAAATCTACGAATAGAGTTTTTCACCTACGCTTGCGCACAGCTATCGACTGCTCTCTACATACCAATATATTTTCCTACAGATAGATAAATGCTAAAGAAGTGCCAATATTTAAATCGGGTTGCGGAAGGCCGGTTTGTAACGACGTGTCTACTTTACTTCCGCGCCTTTCGCCAAGATAATTCAAAAGGTCAGTGTATATTCATCCTCCATCCTTAAAGTCCCGCGTTTTTTTTTTTTTTTCATTCAGTAAGCAGTTTGCATCAAAACCTCTCAGTGGAAATATCTTGCTTCATTTTTAGTACACACTATACCAAATGCCGGTTGTCGAGAATAAGTTGATTTAATGTAATTTTGATTTTGAATAGCTACTACTTGATCTTGTTCACTATAGCTTCTTGGGAGCCAAAATTTCTGGATTGGGCTCGTACGAGGACGGTCTGATAAGTACTTAGCCTCACCGCCCGATGGCGCCCCTATCGCAAGAGAAATTTACTATCGTGTAGTACATTCTCGTAGACGGCTACTATCGAAATTTCAACTGAATCGGACTCGTACTTTTGTTTTGACCGCAGGTGAAAGCGGGCGTGTCCGCAAATTTTAGAAAAATGGAAAAAGAGCAATATCGGTCGGTGATTCGATTCTTGTTTTTGGAAGTGAAATCGTGCAGTGAACTCAAAGAGCGCTTGGATGCTGTGTACGATGACCTTTCTCCTTTGATGGCGACAGTCAAAAATTGGTTTAACGAGTTTTAACGTAGTCGGACGTCGGTTTTTGATGAGTCACGCCTAAGTGCCCCGAAAACGGCTACCACGGAGGATAACGTGACAAAAATCCACGATCTCGTAATGGCAGACCGCCGATTGAAGTTGCCCAAGAAAGCTGGGACAGTAGGCATCTCAAAAGACCGCGTGGGTCACATCCTGCATGAAATTTTGGGCATGAGAAAGCTGTCGGTGCGAAGGGTACCGCGTTTGCTCACTCCGGACAACGAGCGCAACCGTGAGACCACTTCAGAGCAGTGTTTGACGCTGTTTAAGCGCAATCCGAAGACATTTCTGCGTCGTTTTGTGCCCGTCGACAAAACATGGATCCACTGGTACACACCAGAGACCAAGAAACAGTCGAAACAGTGGACTTCACCCGGCGAACGTGCTCCGAAGAAGGCGAAGACTGTCCTATCGGCCGGAAAGGCGATGGCAACCATTTTCTGGGACTCGCAAGGTGTGATCTACATCGACTACCTGGAGAAGAGCAAAACGGTCGCAGGGCTGTACTATGCCGAATTATTGGGCCGATTCGCACCGAATTGCAGAAAAGACGGTCAAATTTGGTGAAGAAAAAAATGCTCTTCCATCATGACAACGCACCGGCTCACACCTCCGCCCTCGCCACGGCCAACCTGGTCGAATTGGGCTACGAACTGCTGCCCCATCCACCGCATTCTCTAGATTTGGCCCCGTGCGACTTCTTTTTGTTTCCAAACTTGAAAAAGTCACTCGCCGGGCAGAAATTTGAGTCGAACGAGGAGGCCATCGCCGCCACAGAAGCCTACTTTGCAGACCTCGAGAAAAAGTATTTTTCAGATGGGTTAAAGAAGTAGGACCGTCGCTGGGTAGTGTATCGAACTAAAAGGGGACTATATTGAAAAATAAATCGCCACTTCAACAAAATTTTCGTTTTTCTTTTGTAGGCTAAGTACTTATCGGACCACCCTCGCATATGTCATTTTGAAAATGGATGTTAAGTAGCTTTTGCGAAATGTTCAATAAATTTATTTAAGCTGAATCTTATCTTTTATGTGGTTTGATCGTGTCGCTATCGACCAAATCAAAATGTCTGATTGGGGGTTTTTCTATCAGCCCCTGCCCTGTCTATTCTCTTTCCCTTGTCTTTATTTCGCTATTTTATCTTGTACCTATTCTGGAACGCTTAGTCCTCAACCTCTAATCCTGCACTTTACAGATTCCCTCTTTAACCACATCCTGCTCAGTGAAGAGAAGGCGCAGTTTGTCCAACCTATTTGATAAACCAGCCTCAAACAGAAGCGTCATAGCTGGTACGGGAACAAATGTCACCCTCCGAACGAACCCACAAATGCACGGCGATCCGACAATGCCGCCGAAAAAGTTTCAAATATAAAATACAGGAAACTGAATGGGCCTACCTAATAAGACATGAGGGCCCAACAGGTTAGCAACCCTATATTTTTCTGGCCATCTCAAGAAGGCTCGCTTCGGGCGGGCTCGAAGCAGTTCGTGTACCGAGAATTCCGTTGCACCAATTAGGGCTATTGCTCCTACGGGCGGCGAAAAGGGAGAGAAGGTTATCTAACTGCGTTGCTTTAGCTTGGCCAGGGTGAAAGTCCTATCTGCCCCCCTCCTCGTGCTTGACGTATTTCGGCTTCACGACCGCGGGTTCAAGGACGAAACTCGTGGAACTGCTTCCAGATGCACTAAAACATCCAGCACTTGGAAGTTTTTTTGTTTTGTTTACGAGTTTTGAAAGCATACAATGTGTCTTTGGTACGTAGCCCGGGCATGGATGCAGATCAGTAGAAAAACAAGAGCGGCAGATCGTAATCGCTCATACTTGCGGCCGGATCCCGAATCGCATGCACAAGACAGAGAGCCATCACCCTTCTCCAAGATGTATGTGGCGTCGTGGAAAGAAAAGACAGCGGTGACCAAGGTTCAGTTGTGCGCGTTTTCCCCTCTCCCCCCACGTAACGCATGTAGACCTTGGCGTGCTTTTAAAGGCCACATGATAGAGTAGTTAAGGTAGGATAACCAGTTTATTTTAGGATTCGTTTTGATGAAGTGCTCGCTCCTTGCCTATATAAACCGTTTCAAGACTATGGCCAGGTTTGATTTCGACCGCGTCATTCGGTTTCTGATGGCCCTCGACGGGAGTCTCGAACATCATTTGTGGATGTGGTTTGTTTTCAAGACTGTAACATTTTTGACATTCGTTATCAGTGCATTGATCACTATTGGGGCTGTTGTTTTGTACTTGCGCTGGAAACGGATACATAGGCACTTCGGAAATGTCCCTGGGACCGAAGATGACTGGCCTTTCGTGCGGACCGTGTTGACCCATATTCACCTCAAAAGGAGATCGAAAAATGACTCTATTGACTACAACGTCTGTGAGTACATACATTTTTGTTCTATAATAGTACTAGCCTCTGTTCGTTTTCCCGGGCAAAAATATAGCCGTTTACAAAACTCTCAAAAACTCTTCCTTGTCATCAACAAAACATTGTGCTAACTGAATTAAAAAAAAAAAAAAAAAAAAAAAAACACTGAAACCTTTGAAGATTTCCGTTATTTGTCTGTTGCAGCCGTAACTTTTAAATAGTGAAGTATAACTTTTGCGCTCCTCAATGGACTTGCCAGTCATATGTTCTGTTATGAATTTTCGACTCCAGCAGCGCGAATGTTTTATGGCAGATGTCCATTTTAAGATGCGTAGCGATTCTCGGAACGCAATTGAAGGAACGGATACGAGCTTTGCGAATACACTGGGTGCGTGAAGTAAACTATTCAAACTTATTTGGTCCACTATTTCAATGAGTAACAATTGAGCTCGCAGTGATCTGTTATCCGAAAGCTCAATATTGTGTAATTTAACTCATGTGTATCCTTTCAACATATAACAAAAGCAAAAAAAAAAACAAAAACGCTTGGGCAGTTGAAAACAGTTTTTCGTAATACCAATTTTTTTTCACAAATTTCCTCCGCAGCCGTTTGCTTACACTTAGGTGACAGGGAGCAATTTTTAGCTGCCACAAAAGAATTAGCTTGCTTTGATAACGATTTTAAAGCAAGTCGGAACTTGGAATTACGAACGATACATTCGGTTAAAAGAACACGAAAATGGTTTCAAAGGTGCTCTAGAAACAACATATTTTCATGCCGAATCCCAGAAGTTCTCGTAGCTTGCCTCCATTCTGCTTTTTGGAGGGTAGGGTGATCAAGCCTACTTAGGCTTCTTACTACATATCCGAGACCTCTAGGGAGGTTCGTCTCCTGAAGCAGGCTCACTTCTTTCGACGGATTTTTTTTTCGTCAATGAGTACTTTGTTTTTGTCGACCAGCCTTATTGTGTTTCTTCATCAAAACCCACATTTTTACAAAACGTTCTGACTGTCCTTCTCAGTGTTCTTAGCCCGAAAATAATTTAAGGGACAAGAAGTTGAGACGGGTTTTGTGGAGTGCTGGTTCATTATACATGTAAAATATGATTTATAATTTAATTATAGTGGGGAAAAGCAGGCAAGTTTGTCCCTTTGAACCAAGGAGTGCTGTAGTGTGCGTTATACACTTGAATAAAACTCCAAGTTGGCATTCAGCTATTGATCTACGCAAGTTGTGTTCTTTTTTTTCAGTGCGATTAAGTGACGCCCTTAATAGAGAAATTCCCACATCTGACACACACACACACAAAATATCCTACATTTTTTTATCTATTGTTGGCAAACTTACTTAGTTTTTGGAGGCAGTGTGAATCCAGTAAAAGTCCGTTCCATATTGCAACCTGTAAGTTTTTTTTTTCGATTTGTTTCCTTAGGCACTACTCATGGACAGCTTAAGAAACATAAGACGTGGCCACGATTCCCGAGCTTCTTATTAACGTTCGACAGCCAATAGGATTGCAGCATCATCCGATAAGGATGCTGATGAACCAATCATAGACTAGCAAAGCGTGAAAATGTTAAACCACGACCGGCATTTTGCCATGCAGGTACGAAAGAGATGTTCCGTTATGTTGCCGACTTTGATCGACCAGCATGAGTGAAAGGATGATTAGGTTCATTTTACAGTGCACTTTGAGCGCTTTATTTTTCTTATTCAGCTGGCAGTAAACTTTTTGTTTAAAATGACATCTCTTTTAATTAACATCTCTTTGTTTTGTCTCTTCTAGTGTTCTTTGAGTATATCGTAGCAGGTTCATGGAGAATGAGGAGGCATCCATTCTTCAGGACGTACATGGGGGACGCTCCTTACGTCATCATTCACAAGGCTGAAGCTGCAGAGGTGAGATTATAAGACATCCTCGCGCTTTTTTTTGTTATTTATGTTGCTTTATATTTTGATTTCCAATAAGATAGCCGTTTTCGCTAATTGCTTTAGCGCTTATATGTTTGGAAAGTTTTTTTTTAATGTTGAATCATGGCTCTTCCGCAGGCTGTTCTGAACAACTCTACCATGGTTAACAAATCAGCAGAATATCGACTGCTGAATCCATGGCTTGGAACTGGCCTCTTGACGAGGTACCTATTTTGCATAATTATAACATAATTAGTTTCATTATCAGAAAAGTTGAAACAGAAAAATTCCATTGTTCACATCCGTCACCGTTAGTGGCTCTTTTTTCGCCAAAGAAGAGCGGATGAAAATTTAAAAACAAGTTTCATATATTAAACATGACGTCTTGATTGTATTCATTTAACATTTTTTTTTGTTTTATGCTGGTTTTAGAAATGAGAGCAACACGCAAACAAGAAAAATGTGCCCCTTCATATCAGTTTTGATCTTTTGTGAAGAATATTCCAAATATTACCTGTTCAAGTATCTTATTTTTGGAATTGAGCGAATATTATGAGCATTTTTTTAAAGTTTATGCAGCAATTTACAAAGTATAGTACCTTTGTGCTTTTTACTTCGCATACAACCAAGGGCAAAATAACAAATATAACACAAGCAGACACTGTTTCATAATAAGGTCGGGTCACATCTGCGCGCGACACACCTTTCTACTAAGGAAATAGTATTGTTGTTCATGTGGATAGTGCAAATTTTTCTTAGAACATTTCATGAGGACACCAGAGGGAGGAGAGCACAGCAGCCTGCCTCAGACACGAAAAAACTCATATACAGAGCAAGCTTTATTTTTCAGTTCTTGATTCCGTGAGAATTATATGCTAAGGTCAGGTTTGCATCTCGAACTGTAATTTAATTCAACTTTTCCTGTACTGCAAGGGATGAATGCATATTAGTACAAGAACTATAGTATATTGGCTGTTTTGTTTGTTCAAGCGACCTTATTTCACTCGGTTGTCGCCTCACAAACAGTTTTGCTCCGGCAGCTCAGGAAGCAAGTGGAGGGTCAGACGGAAGATGCTGACGCCGGCGTTCCACTTTAGAATCCTGGAAGACTTATTGCCAGTAATCAACGAGCACTCTGTGATTTTCCAAGATGTCCTCAGCGAAATCGCTGAAAAGGAGGAAGTCATTGACATTGCGCCTCTTGTTGCACGCTGCACACTGGACGTCATTTGTGGTATGTGATATATCATTTTCGATAGTAAGAGGTTTCGGAGTGGTTTAATTTTTTTTTATTTTAAGAGATGCCGAGACATTAGATTTGTGTAATAATCATAATCTAGGCCAAATGAAAATCAGCGCTATAATTGTGCAGGGGATATCACTGAGTCCGAAAAAAACAAAACAACAACAACATTCCAGAAATTGAAAGCGATTGCCAGAACAATCAACTTAAATAAACTTTGATGCTTTGTTCGGCGCATGACTTCTCCCTCACGACATAATGTGAGAGTAGACATTACGATAAGCTGCAATGAGATGGAAAGTAGATGCCTAACTAAAAGTGCCAACTGCGAATAGCAATTATTTATTTGCGAGATAGAGAAAAAGACTTTAGAAAATAGATGCTTCTCTTTGTAACGGGGTTTTGTTAGAAGTAACACCGGGACAAAGAAAACCCATTAAAATGTCAGTACTGATAATTCTTTACAGCTGTTGGTAATCAAATTTTATGCCATGAATAGTTCGCGGAAGGGTCTGGGGATGACTGCAAAACTCGAGGAAACGTTTTGGGATGTAAAATGAATATAAGATTCCGTTAAATTTAATCTGATCTCGCTTCACTAATAAATCCCAATGAGGCTCTTTTATCAATTTATGGTTAGCATCATGATCCACAGGCTTTCAACTTACATGAAAAAATAGCTAATCAGGTAGGAGTTGCGTTCGGCCGAAAACTTTCTACACAGAAAGAAGTGAATAAAAATTCACGACGTTTTGATTTTCAATTTATAATTAATAACATAAACTTCTTTGAATCTTGTAGAGACAGCCATGGGAACAAAAATAAACGCTCTTCGTTGCAGTGATTCCAAGTACGTTTTAGCGGTCAAAAGGTAAGGGGAGTCAACCCGTCGCATCCAGTAGATAAGGTAAGATGTAAAAGCACAAGGTCATGTCAAGATATGTAAGATAAATACATCTAAACAATGTGAGCGGTCGAAACGGTCTCTAGATGATAATTATCCGTTGAACTTAATGGGCTAGCAGAGACGTGTGTATTCTAATCTTTCCGTGGCAACGGAGAACCATTCAAAATGAGCTGTCAAGCCAGAACAGAAATGACCGAAGGAATAACTAATGCAGGCATAATTATCTCTCGGAAAACGTAAACTAAACGTTTGAAACAGCGAAAACTAGACGTAGAGATGCGCAAATATTAAATGCCTGTTCTTACTCGGGCACTATTATTTTTGGTTTAGTCCTTTATCGCGGGACTTCTGGCATGTTCAGGATTTCTATTCTAGCTCCTGACGCTTTGTAGATATCAGGAAACCGGCGAAGTTTTGTTTTAGCTTTGTTTGTAGATGTATGTGCAACAGCCTGGCACGATCCTTCATTCAAGGCTGTTGTACAGCGTATATCACGCGTTCAATGCACTGTAATGTCCCGCGTTGTCCTAATTTCTTAACTATGCTCACACATTTCATTTTTTTTTTTCATTATTGGACAATCGAGAGAACTAATTCAGCCTCCTTCATGATTTCATATTACGTATTTCTCTGCTGATTTACTTCGAAGCATGATTTCGTAACAAACTTTGTTTTTGATCGTTGAAATTTTCTCAAATAGTGCTTTGCATCCCAGTGAAGGCATGAATTATATTTTATTGATTTTATAAGGCATCTATGCATGTAGGTGGTAGATAAGTCTAGGCTAAACCTTTCACTTTCCACGACTGCTTAAGGGGCGATGATTTTACGACAGTTAAAATCACAAAAAGGAAAGTTTATTTGTGATTGTATTGCTACTTTTAGGAATTCTGATTACAAGCTGGAGCTTTCCTATGCGTTGTTATGTCTGGCGCGACAATAATTCTTCAAAATACTAGGTAACGTTGCTTGAGGTCATATGTTATGTTGGCGAAGCCAGTCTTCTGAATACGACGAGGTGGATACGACAAGGAGTGATACCTTTAACATCTTGTATTATTTGTAAACACCGTGATTGTGAGGAACTACGTCTTTCCCTGAGCACTAAGCGCTAAACTCGAAACATGGTATACTGAAAGAAAAAATTCTGTCCTCTGTTTCTATAACCATGTGAATAAAGATCAGGCTCTTCATCGAGTTATAGCTGAGTAGGAGTTACTGTGATACTTGAAGCGCGTATCCGACCAGTCTGTTTACCGAATCCCCAAAAGCGGTCCTTGAAATCCACCTTATGACGTCATGAAAGTGTCATGCTATCGCGATCCTGCTGGCGGTTGCAGCATCATAGGTGGATGCGGCGCACACCTGTTCTGCTGCAAGTCGCTCTGCAGCAAGCCAGTTGGCGGGAATCAAAGCAGAAAAGAGAGGAGATGCCACTGTGATAGCGACCGTTGCGTTCGCTCGCCTTTTTCGCCAGCCTTTTCACCACCAACTGCCAGGACCGCGACATCTGACATGGCACACCGGCTCTTGAGACGTAATTTGTTGCGAAATCTGGATTATTTTGAATACGTGGACGAGATAGGACGTTAGACACAACAGCCAAAGACGCGCTCAAGGCATCGTAGTGTCACGGTTTTATTGTCTGCAGGAGAACTTTTGAGACGCGAAAGATTATTTGGGAAGTTCAGAAACTCTTTTTTTTTTTTTTATAGACAGCGCTTCCTTGGTCGAGTTTCTTTTTTCAGAATCGTCTGACAATCCTCAAAAAACTTTGTCCTATTCTTAAAAAAAAAAAAAAAAAAAACTTTGCACCTGCCGTACGCCTTTTGCACCCTCTTCCCCAGGCATGCCCCCATGTTGGGCCGCCGACGGAAGAACAAAAGGACAAAGCGTTTTGTCTAAACGAAATGTGGCACAACGCCGGTCTTCAGGTTGAGTCAGAGGTTGAGGGTGGCATTGCTGTTCACCATAACCCTGCCCAGGCACAATCTTCCATTGCTGACTACGATTAGGCCTGCTTTCCCGCTTCGATTTAAGGGCCAATAATAATGTTTTGATTCGATGCAAACTATAACAAAATTCTACATCAGCTGAAAACACTACAAGAAAACACCTAGGAAAGTAATCATTTTATGATTGGTAGCATTACATTCCACTTCCTGTTTCAGGCTCGGCGAATTGTTTCTGTCACGGGCTGCAAAGCCTTGGTTGTGGCCGGACATCATTTACAACCTCACCTTGGAGGCGGCGGAGTTCAAAGTGTGCCTCGACATTCTCCACTCTTTCACCCGAAAGGTGCGATTTTTTTTATTCCCATGTTTGCAAAAGATTCCTGTAGAGTGCAATTTATCCTTCAAGGAATCATCCTATGAGGGGAGTGTTCAGATAAGAACGGTCATAGGGGTGGCAGGCCTATTTTTTTTTTCAACTACAGTTTTATGAGTTACAAAAACATGTCCGCAGGAAAGAACGGACGTTACCTTTGCAAAATCCTTTATTGTTTTCCTAAGAAGAAATCGCGCCTGAGATGTAAATATAGTTACTTATAAAGCACGCCAACTGGTCTACTGGAACTAAAATAATTTATTTTATATCAGCTTATATTTAAAGTAAAATGAAACAACAAACTTGACCTCTTGCGTAACTCTTTCATATTTAGGCACTTTTCGACGATTTTCACATCATAAGTTAAAGTTTTTAAGCTCAAACGTTTTGTGCAGAATGTTTATGCTTTGATCACTTGAAAAAAATATCGCTCGATTTTTAGTGATTTTTTTTGCAATGCATTTGGATCTTTTTTTTATATCAAAAAGGTCAAAATTGTGCAATATTAGTTTGGCAACATTTAAAAAAAAAATCTTAGATATCTTTTTTTTTTAATTTTTATGAACTTTCAAGAACGGGTAAATTAAAGTCTGCAAAAAACATGCCGCATTATAGTTTTAATTTAGAAAAAAAATCGTTTAGTTAGGTTTATGTTACAGTCAATAACCGGGAGTTTCTGTCTCAACCACGAACCGAGCAGCGCGTCCACAGTGGCCATACTTTGCTGCATTATTTCCCAGGCACCATTAAAAAAAAAAAGAAAAAAAAAGTGGGCTTTTTTTTTTTTATTGATGTGGCTGATATTACATATCGAATCTGAACTTTGCGGCACGTTCGGTCCTTCGGGGGTTGTACTTCGTTGATAGCACTGCCCTGTGGTACCATCCAAGGGTACTTCTCTAATGTGGGTAGTCTGCTGACAATAGTTCGATTAAATTCTGTCAACATCAGCATCCTCCGTTTCGAATTATTATGTACGGTAGTGGACGTTACTGGCTATCTCAATCAAATCAGCGTATCGATGGACGACGCGTCACTGCGCCAATCTCGAAAATCACGTGAGGGTCACACGGCATTGGATTGCCAGCTTGTATGGCTCGTAGCGCCCTCTATGGTCTAGAGTAAGCTAAAACAAAATAAAGGAACGGACGACGCTAGGGAATCTTACGCCTCGACCGATGGCAAAACAAAAACAAGATTTGTTAAAAAAAAAGCAAATAATTGGGAAAGCTAGCTAGGTAGCGTCATTGGACTGATGTCGCACTGCTGCTCGAGGAATGCTTCTGGCGTTTGTAACACCACTGCTCATCGAGAAATGTTTACATTACGCTAAAATGCTTCGTGTAGACTAAAAAAAAAAAATTGGCTCCGCGCAGAAGGGTTGTATATTTCTTTCATCAATCATATTAGCGGCATGGGAATAGATACCGATAGAATAAAACATTAGTGGAAGTTCGCGGACAATCGCTGAATGTGCCATGTTGACCACACCGTCGGTGCCCGTAAATTCGAGTAACCCTGTTCATGGTTTACGGCTTTTTGTGTCCAAAGATGTTTTTTTATGCGAAAAAATTTTGGAATTTTTTATACCGTAAATTGGGCGGTGACACCTACAAATATAAAGGGATTTAAAAATGTCTCCCGTTTACCAGCCCTTTAATCTTCCCTGAAATCACCCAACACCATGATGCTGGGTTATTTCAGTCTTGCGCTGCTTAGCGTAAACATCAGCAGGTGTGCAGTGGCGTTACAAACACCGGAGGCATCACTCGCACGTCTGCGCAACACTGGTCTAATGGCGCTACCCATCTACCCAGCTTCCCACTTCCTTTTTTTTTGAGACAATTTGTTTTCGTTTTACCTTCGCTTGAGGCATAAGATTTCTTAACGTCGCCTGTTCCTATACTCGCACTTCCTACACTGCGCTTTCAAGTAGGCAGTGGCTACTTGTCCAACGTCGCTCTCGTTGTCAGATGTCTTGACCTGTTGCGTGTTATCAGAGACAATTAAAAACCGAATGGTGTGCCCCTTTTCTTCGACATTTTTATCCTCACTTTGGAGTCATTCCCTGTAAGGGGAATTAGGAAAAAATTAAGATGCGCTCGCCTTCCAAATGTCTAATGTCCTGGGAGCGGGACACTGAACTCCCAAAAACAATTTGCATGCCCTGAGAGGACACGCTACATCCCCGAGTAAACTTTTCAAGAAACAAAACTCGTGTGTAATATCCACGTCGTCAGGCTGATTCCTGGGATTCCGCAGCATGATTCTACATCTGGAGTGGACGTCTCAAAATAGAGGCATGTTCTCAAAATGGCTTCTACTCAAAACGAGTTTTGTGATGTAAATATTGCAATAAAAGAATTCTTTTGTTTACGCGATAGCGTTAAGGAGTCTGTGCCTCAAAAATGCCGGCGTCGGCGTCGGTGGCGTTGTGACGAGAAAAAACTTGATTGGTCGATCGCGTATGACGTCACAGCCAAGTGATCTCGCGCAGGAATTTCAAACAGCCCTCAACGCTCACATGGAACGTGACGCCGCGCGTAAAATGAAAGTGATTAAAACATGGCATGTAATGCGGATCAAAGGTCGCCACATGTTTCAAGTCATTTCGCTTTGTAAAGTAATTAATTTGCCTTAAAGATATTAAAAAAAATTTAGGCTCGATTCGAATTTACGATTTTTCGGTTGCGAGCCTGGCATGCTACTGACTTGGCCATGCAGAGACGCTTCCTTCAACTTTTTTTATTATTATTTTTTTTTGGGGGGGGGGGGGGGAGGGGGTTGTTTTGTGGCATATACGTCTTCTACTTATGCACTTAAAACATGTTTTCGATTCGAGCAAAACTCCACGTGTATCCCCTGAAGTAAACTGATAGACGTGTTGCGCTGCGAAGTTCTGCAGAACAAACGCGTGACCAAGAATTGAAAGGAAAAGGATGAATTGCATTGAGATGAGGAGAAACACAACGAACACGAATGGGCGCAGACTAACAACTGTTTATTCTTTTCTTTTTTCACCTTTTCAATGCATGAATTTGCCCATGCGTGAGTTAGGAAAAGAACGAAAGCTATGAAATAATGATGAATGTCTTCATGAAGATGTGTAAACTTTCGATTTTTGCGATGTTTTTTTGTTTTTTTTCTTTTTCTCAGAAACGTTTGGTTTTTGTGGTGTGAGAGGGGACTTTGAAGCTGGTGCTGGTGTCCGCCTCGTTATGCTGTGTAGTGTCTCAGGAGTTCAATTTTCTTTTCCTCCTGTGCAATGGATGGGTCACTGACTCACGTGCCGTGCTTCCCTGATGCCATGTGGAAGGCTTCAATGATTTCGCGCTTATTTCTATTCTTCGATCTCTCCATGAGTGATGTATTTCCACATAGCGGTTCGCAGCTGCATCTTGCGCAATGCGCTGCTAAGTGGCCAAGTGCTTGCAATTTGCCGCATGCATATTTATGTTCTCTGAGTCTCTAATTTAGGCATGGACGAATCGAAAAATAGCAACAAGCGCGAAATCACTGAAGCCTTCCACATGGCATCAGGGAAGCACGGCACGTGTGTCAGTGATCCATCCATTGCACTGAACGAAAAGGAAATTGAACTGCTGAGACACTACACAGCATAACGAGGTGAAAACCAGCACCAGCTTCAAGGTCCCCTCTCACACCACGAAAACCGAACGTTTATGAGAAAAGGAAAAAACACCACAAGAATCGAAAGTGCACACATCATCATGAAGACATTTATCATTATTTCACAGCTTTCGTTCTTTTCCAAACTCACGCATGGGGAAATCCATGCACTGAAAAGGTGAAAAAAGAAAAGAATAAACAGTTGTTAGTCGGCGCCCATTCGTGTTTGTTGTGTTTCTCCTGATCTCAATGCAATTCACCCCTTTCCTTTAAATTTTTGGTCACGCGTTTGTACTGTAGAACTTCGCAGCGCAGCACGTCTATCAATGTACAACCAACCAGCCAAAACCGAAATCCAAGCTTTATTAACCACTGAAGTAAGTATTCCGATGACTACTGCTTCTTTTTTTTTTTTATGGAAACTTCATTTTGTGAGATTGTGTCTAGGCGCTTAAAAATATTTTTTTTTTCTGGAAGTTTAGCGGGTTTTTTTTTGTAGCCATCTTAGATATTGTGTTTTACAAAATTCAGTTGCTCCCACCTTGCGTGATTATATGTTTGTTTTGTTTAAATAACGCCAGTTCTTTTTTATAAGAATGTTAAGTTGACGATTCGTAGTAGAAAGATTTCTTCGTGTAAGATTGTGCCAGAAAATAATGATAAAAAAATACTTTATCTTATGCTCGTATCGAAGTCACGCGAAAAGAGGCGATTTGACCTAGTTCCGTTGTGCATCACATTAGGTCATAAAGGAAAGGAAGGCAACGTTATTAAAACAACACGAAATGATGACGGAGCATCAAGAGAATGGTACGGTCGGCACTGGACACAATCTATCTGGACAAAGTCGGACTGCCTTCTTGGATCTCCTGCTCTCCCAACACTTCAAAGACCCTTCTTTCACGGAGGAGGACATCAGAGAAGAAGTCGACACATTCACCTTCGAGGTGAGTCTTGTTTTCATCTTCATTAAGCAGTGTACTACCCCTGAAAATTGTGCTGTATGTTTATTTAGACAGCTTGAAGTTAGTCAGCCTTACCGTGGACATCAAAGATGACGATGATAGTGATGCCGATGTAGAGGAGGAATTTTACCACTGTAGTGCTACCGCCTCCCTGGGGTCTTCTAGATCCCGCAGTGGTGATACAGGACCGTAGGCTGGTACAGTGCTCATCCAGACAGAAACCAGTAGGGGTGCAGCGCGAGCTTTGGCTCCACGTGCTCCAAGCTACTGTTTATTACCACACTCGGCCACCGATTCCCCTACAGCACTCGTGTCAATCAACATATATTACGTGAAACAGAAGTTTCTCAGTTATTACTCGCTCCATTCGGGGTAGCTTGTTGGGGCTGGTCTTTACTCAAGGTCAAATTTAAATTATAGGCTACGGTCCCTGCGGAGGGTTTTCCGTGATCCTAAGTATCTTCGTTCTGACGTTGCACGAGGAATCTGTACACGTCTAGGTTCAGGTGGGAGGGGAGAAGTGGGAAAGGGAATTACTCTCGTCATGCTTTACATCGGGTCATAATGCAGTGTCACAAAAGCCGGGCATAGTCTAAAAAAATAATATAGGCCAAATTAAAAAAAAAAGAAGAACGTCGTTATTGAGTTGAATTACCATATTTATTCATCTACTGAAACGAGACACACCCTTTACGATAGAAGACGCTTGCGAAAAGTAATGTATATAAATAAATGTGTTTACCGTTTTAGCACCGTGAATTGCCATCAAAAGTCACGCAAGCACCACGATATATCTGGCTGAGACGTGTGGTCTTCAGTCGTATTGTCATGTTTCATTGAGAGCAATATTCTATTTCTACTCCACGAGGGCTGCGTTAAAATAATCGTGAATTGTTCAAATAACAATCCTTTTTGTTTACTGCGGGTTTCACAGCCTTTCTGATTTCCTTAGTGCCACCTTATCATTTGTTATGTTTTCTTGCTGCGAAGCACGTTTTGAGCGTAGAAACATAAAAGGTGACCCCTCTCTGAAATTGGTTTCAGAAGGAGGTTACGTTTTATGCCTCTACGCTCAAAAAGTGCTTCGTACCACGAAAAAACTAAGGAAATCAGAAAGGCTGTGAAACCCACAGTACACAAAGAGAAAATCATTTGAACAATTCACGACAACTTAACAGCTTTCGCGGAGTATATCTACATGTATGCATCGGGGCGTTTTTGCTTAGTCGCACAACCCCAGAATTTTCATAAACCTTCATCGTGACCGCATTTTTTATTCTCTCTCTCTCTCTCTCTCTCTATACATATATATATAAACACCTGCCTAGACAACAATTATTGAGCGTACATCGTAATTTCAGTGCAATGAGGGTCTCCTTTGACGGGGCTTTCAAATGTTTGGATAGGCCAAAATTCATGTGCGTTCCGGGCCTCCAGTGATAAGCTCATTGGTGGTGCACAGGTGTGGGGTGCGGATGTGCGCACAGCCTTTCGGCTGTGCGCACATCCGACTCGCGTAATCAAAGGGGCGCGCACGGTCCCTTTAGGCAGATGTCACGACAGGAACGTTACAGTCAGTGGAAATTTACGCAACGCGGGGCGTGGCCAGTCCAAAGCACCTTATTACCGCAGCCAGTGACAGGGTGCCATTTGCCGAACGCCGAAGAACGAATCTTGGAGCACTGAGCAATAACGTAATAAGCCACGTTCTCCGTTTCTTAATCCATCCATGACTATACACTAAAGACAGAGCCGTTTATACTGGAAGGGTATGGCAGTCTCTCCAAAATGCTTGCAGTATAGACCTTTGCGAAAATCGCCTTCTGCGCAGTGTTGCCGACTCGTGTGAAATTTCCAACCTTGTGTGGAAAGCCTGATGCCAAGGGGTAAAAATAAATTTAATTTGAACGCATGTAAAATATGCATTTTTAAAACCAAACATATCTCTTATTTTACATACGTTCGAGTTTAGTTCCCCGTTGTCCCCTGGAGTTATGTTTGTGAGAAATTTCCTACTATTCTGCAACACTGCTTCTGCGTGCTGTTGGGCTGTGGAACGCCTTCTAAGCATGCGCTGTTGCTCTGCTGTGGGGTATATCAGACGCCGCATGCATTTACAACCCAGTGACTCAGCACGTTTGCTTGTGCGATAAGCGCTGGAAACGTCTATAGTAACCGCGGCTGGGAGTCTGGCAACCTGAAAATGTTTTTTTTTTTTTTTTTACAGCGGAGGGCTAAGTTCCACAGGATCGTGCCCCCGCAAAAAAATGTCGACAAAAAAAAAAAAAAAAAAAAAAAAAACTGGTTGCGGCCGTTGTTTATAGATGGCGGCAGCTGTCCAAAGTGTTGTGTTTGCCGGTTGTCCGCTTGCCGCCATCGCTCATAGATGGCGGCAACCTTTCGAGCCTTTCCCCTCTGGCTTGCCGACTTGCGGCCGGCCATTACTTCATTCCCACCATAGTACAGCTTCGCTGGTCTTCCTTCTTCACCAAAATGGAAAGGCTAAAAATATTTTTTTCCCCTGTTCTTTCGTTGGTATTCGCTTCTTCATTTTCTCCTTAACATAAATTCAATGCGTTTTCTTGTTGCATTTGAGGTACCTGTGCTACACCGTATGCTGGTTTATACTTGTTACTTTGTGATCTTTCTGTGTACGGTCATCTTTTGTAAACAAAGGCACACCAGTGTGCGCTTTGCTTACATGGATGTGAAGCGGCATTTCTCACGCTCTCACCGCCGCTTAATGTTTTATTTATATTATACTTTGTTTATGACAAATTCATTTTTCAATCGTACGTTAAAAGATCAACCGGAAATGAGTACTATTCATCGAAGCAAGTGTTAAAGACTTAAATTGGTTTGGATACTCTCCCTCCAGTGTCATCTGCAGTGTTGTGTTTTGGTGAATATCCTCAGAATTAGCGTTTGTCTTTTTGTTTTCAGGGACACGATACAACGGCTGTAGGGATTAGCTGGGCTCTTTACATGATTGGCTTGCATCATCACGTTCAAGAGCGGATCCAGACTGAGCTTGAGAACATCTTCGGGACAGACACAGAACGAAACGCAACGATGAACGACATCCGAAGCATGAAATACTTGGAATGCGTGCTAAAGGTGCGCTTGTTTTTGCTTGACCGACAGTCGAAAATATGCAAATGTTGCATTGGATGTACTCTCATGCACAACCACGCAGAAATATGTAGTATTATTTTAATGAAAATTGATTAACTATGAAGAGCCCTTGGATATATTGCTTTAACGTAGATTTGTTTAGATTCCCTTCAGTTGTTTATGGTTAAGAAACTGTTATGATCACCTACCTTACCAAAGGCAGGGCATGATTTGTAAGAAGCATCAACTTAAAGTCACATTTTGTTGTCGCGTTAAGCAAACGGGTGGGCAAAAGGTCGATCCTCTTTCGATCACGCTTTAGCCTATTTTCGAGTTTCTAGGTATTTTTCCCGCTATCACACTGATATTTCCTGTTTCTTATTGTACGTAACCCCTGGAATTCAGGAAGCCAACAATATCGTTTCATGAGCTTTGACGGGAGACTCCGTCGCTTTGTTTGTTATCATCTGATACTAAAATATGATATCAATTTATGAGACGGCGTAGATGCCTGCATCTCCTGAAGTATTCGTAATTTGTGCCTTCAAAAAATATTTTATAATATCTATGAGATTGTCGAGCACGAAATGAACTAGGTGCCGGTCAGTTGTCATTCATTGCGACCTGTCCTGTACTGTCCACATTCTTCGCACTTTAGTATACATAGGAAACAGACTCATACAAAGCAGTTCGAGCGTCTCAATTGATGTTAGTATTAACTTGTCAACATGCGCATCGTCTTCTCTCCAAGGAATCTCAAAGACTGTTTCCGTCCGTGCCGTTGATTGCACGCCTACTGCAACAAGACTGGAAATATGGTATGTCAACGAGACTGCTTCGGTAGTTTAAGGAATATATATGTCGTTTCAGTGTCGCAATATGTCGTTCTGCTGACTGTAGCTCATGGTTTGCAAGAGGGCAACAATAATCAAGTTTATCCTACAAAACACATTTCTAGCTGACATTGCCGCCGTTACTATACGCATAACTAAGATGGCCATAATCCTGAAACTATAAATATATAACATTATATTGGCTCGCTTACACAAATCAACATACCGTAGGTGCTTTGCAAGTATCTCTTTAGCTAGAGTGTGAAGCTCAACAAATTGGGTTAACGGGTTCGATTCTCTTTGGGGGACGTTCTAAATTTCGTCGTTTCTTCAAAATGTATGGATATTTTTGCTTAGTTACGCGGTATTGTTTACCGAGCTATGACTCCGAAATTTATGTCGCACATTTTGGTGACGTAATTGTACACCGTCTTTGGTACTCCAACACTTAAATGCATTTTGTGTTGAAATTCGCTTATTTCCGTCATCGTCATAGGAAAATCAGTAGTAACACAGAACGTATGGTTTCTCGCTACGCTGTACTGTTGAAAAGATGGGCTCGGTACGTATTTTGAAACATAGTTTTGGCATTACCTGTCATCAAGTTGTTTGAAAGAATGCCCTCCAAATGCTAACGCTCAAGCGAGCGGGGAACGCGAATTGCACGTCTCTTGCGATCACACACCCCTGTTTTTCGCCGACTATTTTGCGTCTCCTCCTTTTACTCACAGCACGCGGTTTTTTTTTTTCTCGCCTCCTACACATTCTCCCACTTTATGTGCGAGTGCGCTCGCTGCCTAATAGACCTATTGCTGAATTACTCAAGCTTCAAGGAAAACGCTGGAACCTAAGTCAACGCGCCGCACGCGCTCGCCTCCTCCGTATAAAATATTCGAATGACCAAAATAAGGCGTTGACGAGCGCGCGTGCCGGATCAAATTTGTTTTAGTCTTTTGCTTTAGAACAGTTACTACTGCAGACGCCATACCGTGTACCGCGTGTAACTACACCCGCAGCATGCTTCTTGGTGCTTGGGTGATTTAACAAAAGGTCTATGGTGACGACATTTCCATCTAGCTTTTCCCACGTGGACCGTTGGGGCCGCTGGTTCGACATAGGATTCACCCATGATTCACCACCGAAGAAATACAGGTTCGATATCGAGCAGTTCAACACTTTCCCAAATGCTTTTTAATACTCGTGGATTTCCGTGCGATGCTCCTGCGTTACAAAAGTCTGCCTTTCCAAACTCTATCTGCTAGGAAGCAGCCGTATAACAAAATCTGCCGTTATAAAAACCGGCGTTTGTTTGTCAGTGTTGCGCTAGGTGCAAAATCATGATTTTCCAGTAGACCGGACTCGCCAGCACGTTTTAGCTAAGCCGTGCCGCTGCCGCGGTTCTTCTCGATAACTTTCAGTTTTTCTGCACGGTGAGGGAACCTGTTCGCGTCTCTTCGCGTGCGGATTCTCTGATGCCTGATTTCTACGGCCCATTGTCAAGCCGCGGTGTCACGCCTACGCCGACCATTTGGCAAAACCTGTTCATTATTGTGGGCACTAACTTGCGAGCGTTACAAATGGCCTGCCTGGTCCTTTTGTGTCCACAGACAAGTACATAATGCCGAAGGGAACGGTTTGCTTGGTGTCCATCTACTCCTTGCATCGAGACCCGGACGCCTTCCCGAACCCGGAGGAATTTATTCCTGAAAGATTTTTACCAGAGAACTGCACAGGCCGACACCCGTTTGCTTACGTTCCTTTCTCGGCTGGCCCAAGAAACTGCATCGGTCAGTGATGGCACTCTACTTTCACTAGAGCTATGCCGAGAGCAAGTCGGCTGCTTTTTGCGCACGGGTTGCGGACACATCAAAACGACGCCGGGTTCTGATTGGCTTTGATTGAAAGGATAGCGGGTATACCTCAATGCTACATGCCTTGAGGTCTACCCACTATTTGTTTTTCAGTCAGCCAGTAAGCGCTCGGTGTTCTGACATCATCGCAACCCGTGTTCAAGAAGCAGACGACCTTGCGCTCCGCTAATCAGAGACACCCTAAGAAGTGAAGGGTATGGCAAGTTCTGTGCATCTTAATATTGCCCCACTGTCAATAAGATGCGATACTATTACAAATAATTCAAGAAGTAATTAAATTACTATTCGAGCATGTTACGTGGAATGTACTACTGTTGCGTTTCCTTCTGAACTGTAAAATATTACATATTTCAGGTCAAAGGTTCGCGATGATGGAGATGAAGACTTTGGTGTCCCGTATTCTCCGCAATTTTACTCTCCACTCTATGGATCAACGGGACAAAGTCCAACTGGCGGCGGAGCTGGTGCTTCGACCACGCGACGGGCTTCGCATCAAGCTGAAGTGTCGAAAAAAGACATGAATGGAAGATTTATCATTCACTACGTCGCTTTATCTTTTCTGTTTACAGTTTGTCTCACCCTACGATGGACTAAAGGCAAAAGCTGCGAACCTCCAGATCCAAGCGCGAGCCACTTAGAAATTGCGTGGTATTTCGCTTCGATGTAGCTATCGGTGCCCGCTTCTCCGATCAGTGATGAGGATGGGCGGACAATGGTTCAAATCGAACAGCACTCAGTGACTCATCAATTGTGGATTGCAAAGAAAGTCGCGACATACAGGGTCTTTGCAGTGCCAAAGCTATAGAAATGATACAGCAATTTTTGATTCGGAGCATTATTTGTCCACCCGCTAATCAATGTTACGCATGTCATAGTTTAGCGTGTAACGTGATTCGACCTGGTGGCCCGTGAGTTTGGCCTTTAGTCCATCTTAGGATGACACGAAGTATAGCTTCTCGAAACAGCATTTCATTGCCTCATTAGCGTGCCAGTACCAAATACTTTACTTGGGGGAACATGTCAAACTCCGTGGAAGTACAATAGCATTGGCATAGACAGGTTTTGCGTAGTTCAACAGCTGGATGCGCCGCAGCGTTGGGTTTTCCCCTTTGATTTCGGAGTGGTGGCGAGCACCCTCTATTGTCGTGAACGTGCGGCTCAAAGCTCTTGACTAGTCGTTCTCTGGTGTCCACTGGACGCACCACATAAGGTTCGGTCGATGCATCGCAGCTTGTTTCACATGAAAAGCTAAAACGAAATATATTTTTAATTATATAAGATAAATCTTTGCTTTACATGCTCTATGTAGAAATAATGTGGTCAAAACTCATTGGATCTCATTAAATTGAAATATATGTTGATAGATAAGCTCCTATGAGTAATATAACCAATAACTGCCAACGAGTTATAACTTAAAAGTTTTGTTGCAGTAATATTTCGATGATACATTTCCACAGAAAAACTGGATAATTTTGGGAAATCATTAAATGTGCTTTACGTCTCGTACAACTCTTTGTTTGGCATTCAACAAATATTTTATGGTTAAAAAAAACAATACTATACAGGTTACAGAATCCGTCTTGTAAAATTTATCGGAGCACACACGCTTTTTATGCAAAGGCTCCGGTTCATGCTCCTTGGAAACAGATATGGCAGTAATGACATTACTGTAATGAAATTACAGCTATTAAATTACGTTTTGTGGTGATGAGTAATGTAATTAATTATTTTTTAGGCTGGTAATTTAGTAACGTAATGAATCACGTTCAGGTAGTCATTTCGATGAAATTACTCATTGCTTTTGAAATCACTTTTGTCTCAAATGAAAAAAAAAGAAGAAAGACGTTTACAAATTGTGTAATGCGAAATTAGAGCACAGCTCTTGAGTAAGAAAAGGGGAGGGTGTATCCCACCTCCTCCTCTGTACCCTCTTCTCCTCGCTTCCCCCTCTCCTCGTCCTCCCCCATCACGCCCTCTCCCCTCCTTCTCCAATTCAGTTTCCCTGCTAAATTTAGCAAGGAAAATGACATCATATGACTTGGTTTCAAGTCATCGATGAAGAAATTCAGTCTCTGCGCTAGATTTAGCGGGAAAATTGACGTCACGTGACCTCCAGACCAATTTGATTCCCCCCTAAATTTAGCGGGGAATTGAATTGGTGTAGAGTTCACGTGTCGTTGATTTTCCCGCTAAATTTAGCGTAGTTGCGGACAGATCTGTTCCCAGCAAACCACGATTCTTGTAGTCGGTAACGTAGCGCACAGTTTTTCCCATTGCCATATTATCGTGTCGTCTGCTTCCACATCTTCTACAACCGTTGCGTGAACACCACACGGCGCCTGGCGAAAAGATAATAGATGACATTTAGCCAACAGTTACCGTGTTCCGCGTACCGCACTACAGGAGACTTTGAATCATTCTTTTAAGCGCTCGCCCCGCGGTCATAGAATCACCCGGGCGTGCGCTTAAAAGCATGCTTCAATGGTTTCGGTAGTGCGCTAGGCCGAACGGCTTGCTAAAAGTCCCTAATGCCTTCAAGCTTAATTTCAAACCAAGGGCGTGTGTGCGGGCCTGTCGAGGCGATGGAGGGAAGCCGACTGCGGCAACGCTTTGGCGCAGACTGCGCATGCGTAGTCAGACCATACCGCAAGGGGAGGATATGGTGCTGTAGCCGCGCTGTTTTGGCTGTGTAACGCAAATGAGCAGAGTGGAATGTATTTGCAACTTCCACGGCCTATGGGGGGCGCGCTAGTTTCGAAGAAAATAGCTGTTAAACGGATGATTGTCGTAAAACAGCGCACGAGCTTGGGTCTTCGACGCGTAAGTAATTATAGTTTTGCAAAATACGAGCGATAGAAGGGCCGTACCTCATACTTCCACGTCAGGAATGTATAAGCAAGCACGTTCATTCTGAAGCCGTTCATCCAGGAGCCAGGGAGCGCGATTCTAACATTACGGGGCCACCATCGCTGAAAGTTAAGAATTCTCCCTAATAAAGTATTTACCAGTACCTTCATCTGTGAATATCACTCTAATCTAAACTAAGGGCTCAAGGAATAAAAATTAATTAATGTGCCACGTGCAGTGTAAAACTGAATGTGTACCTAATTTTGGGTAGTGCATTAACATGAAAAAATAAAATCGCGTATAGCTGAATTGGAAACTCAAAAACGAGTGCTAAGCCCCCCTCCCCCCTTCCCCCCTTTTTACACAATGACGTAGATTAGCTGAGAAAGTCAACAACACAGACTTCTGACACGGATGACCAATCTCTTAATAGACCTTATTTAGAGTGTCTTCACAACTTCACAAACATGCTCTCTTGCTTGAGTGGTGGCATCTCAACCGCTTTTCCACCCATACGTTTTATTTATTTTTTTCTTAACGGCGTTTGAAGTACGCGCAAAACGGTGTGAGTCAGCTCGAGCGCGTATTCTTGGCCTAATGCTTAGACTCCATTTTACCCCACAAGTCACACACTGAGCGCGCGAGGGCGTCACGCGCTGGCCGGTACAGTCTGTGCAACAAAGGATGTCTTCCACCCGTGACAGACAAACATGTAGGTGTCCTAACAAAGGTCTATCGGCTAACAACATAAACTATACAAAAAAAAAGTGAAAGCCGTTTACAACTCCCTGTAACGCCGAATTAGAGCGCAGCTCTTGGGGAGGAGGGGGAAGGGTACTGGGGGGGGGGGGTCAACTGACTGAGGGAAGGTCACGTGACCTTGGGGGGTCACGTGACCTGGTCACGTGACGATAACAATGCCGATGATGTCATCAGTGACGTCACTGATGACGTCATCAGGGATGATGACGATGCGGATGCCGGTGACGTCATCAGTGACGTCAATGATGACGTCATCAGTGATGATGACGATGACGACGTGGATGCCGGTGACGTCATCAGTGACATCAGTGATGATGATGATGACGATGCGGATGCCGGTGACGTCATGAGTGACGATGACGTAATTCGGGGGTCACGTGACCTCGGGGAGGGGGTCACGTGACCTCAGGGGAGTCACGTGACCTCAGGGGAGTCACGTGGCCTCAGGAAAGTCACGTGACCTCGGGGGAGTCACGTGACCTCGGGGAGGGGGGGGGGGCTCGCGCGGTGCATGATGGGACATTTCCCATCATGCACCGCCCGGTTACGCCGACGCCGCTCAAGCCGGAAACGGGCGCCTAAGAGCTGCGCTGTAATACCTAGCGTAAAAAAAAAAGTACGAGAGGTACTAAAGAGAAGCGTCGAGGACTAACGCATCTCCGTGACCAATGCACTACCCCCTAACGATTCAGGTCCACCGCGGTGGTCATTTTATGTGAAGCTCCTTTGGAGGTAGAACCAGAAATCATCCTACTTCCCGGTATGAGGGTACCGCATAACATCATTAGACCGACCTTACCAGCCAGTCTGAGTACACCACAGCAGCTGCAATGCATCAAGGGAACTTTAGTCTTTCTGCGCATGCCACAACAACGCTGGGGTTCTTTGGGTCCAGAGCACAAAACGTCTCGCGGGCACTTCCGCCTATCCCCTCTGAACTAAAGTTATGGCTGCTTCACGCATGCACCGAACGTTCGGTAAGATCTGTCTATTATCTACATGCCTAAAGGCTGAACCCCAATAGGGTATACTAGAACGGAGAGGTGTGCCGTCCGGCTGCCGTGAGTGTGTCGCGAAGTGCAAGCACTTCGGGGATATAGCGCGGTTACCCGACGGCTGACAGAGGCCGACCGGTCGCAGCGGATAGGCTCTTTTTGGCGTGATAATAGTTGCATTCTTCATTTGTTTTTGCCTACTCGGTTGTGAGAAAGAATAAGTTCCATCCTATGTCACAACCCTATGAAAAAGCGCCACTTGCGCGAGCGGCAGAAGCTTATATTCAACACGCTAATGCCGTTTGGGAGCGGTCAGTTACTTAGATAGTCTCGCTTCTTTCACTTTAGAGCACAGCTCTTAGGTGCCCGTTTCCGCCTTGAGCGGTGTCGTTTGCCGTCGGCGTAACCGCGCGGTGCATTATGTGAAATGTCCCATAATGCACCGCGCGGGGAGGAGGGGGAGGGGGAAGAGGAGGAGGAGGGTATTGAGAGAGTATCGCCGAATTAGAGCTGCGCTCCAATTCGGCGTTACAGGGTGTTATAAACGTCTTTCATTTTCTCGTTTTGTGGTTGCAGAAGAATAATTGTCTATCTCATCTTACATAGCGTAATTAAGAAAGCGAAGTTTGAGTAAATATGACATGCCGTGCTTTCCTTTCCCCTTTAGTGTCAAACCTCTTATAAATATTTTTTCGGCGGCTGTACATTTTGCAGACCTTTATATACCTAGGTTTTGTTTTCGTGTTAAGACATCTTTTTTGTGTAACGGATTAATGAAAGCGAGCCTTTTCTTAACTTCTGCATTCTCAGTCAAAGCTTATATACAAGGAAATGTCTGAATTGATTTCATCTAGTGAGCATGAATCGTATGAAAATAAACACCAAGACTAGCAAAATAAATGGGGCAACTACAACTG